CTGAAAAGGTGCACTTGAACTGCACACACACCTATCTAGTTTTGGCCCACAGAGACTCAGCAGGTATAATCTAAGGTTCATCATATATTTTTAACTCTTTGCATTGGATATTTAATTATTAAGCAATCACCAAGAAATTACAATTTTATGGTAGAGCACTAAGCAGGCAAAATGAGATTTTAGCAGCCTCTGAAATCCACACGCTCCAAAATTAAAAGTGCCACTTTATAACTGCAACTAAGAGGCTCCAGGGCTACCATATTAATTTGGAAGAGTCTCATTAAATCAATAACAGATTCATCTGAATTCATTCACCCACATATACCAATTTGGTTTTCTTCTTAATCAGAAGAGCATTGAAGCACAAGGACAGATTGATTTCTCTTCTTAAAAAAGCAGAATCAAATAGTCTAGGTTTGCATCCCATCCAGGCAATGCCCCCTCCACCTCCAGTCTTTTATATTTGAAAGGTTCCTCAATTGCTCTTTGATTCAGAGTTTTCTCTTAATGTGATAAGATAAATAGATAGCTGGTTTTACTCACAAAATTCAAATATACATTACATCAATTACGAAAAGATATCCCTGGAACTTTAACAGAGTTTAATCTACTAGATATGCAGTCTTTATTGTTCACTAAAGAATATGCAGTACTTTGTACTGGACTGGTCTGTTTATCTCCAGGGCAAAGTTCTGGGGAAGGAGTTCCTTCCACCCCAAAGCATTTTTTTTTTGCTTTGTCTTGGGGGGAAAAAAGCAGTGCAATCTGTTCCTTGTTTCTCATCCAGGAGTTATACGAATGATCTCCACTGCACTCCTGCTAGTCAGCTGATAAGGCAAAAGAATTGGAGGTGATCCACAAACTGCTTACAAAAGTGAGCATGAAAATCCATCAGCAAAGAAAGTGTTAAATTATTCCACCTTTTCTTCTGAAACTGACAGTGTCTCACCTGCTAGAAATGGATCTGCTCTTGCAACTATAGTGCATCTATAGCATGAATATTGTAATGATACTGTGTAGGAAAACAACCACCTTTCCTAATGGTTAGTTTACAGATATTACATTGGGTAAATAAAGAGTATGTTAGTATTTGGTGTTACTTCTCTTGTGTGACTTCTAATTCTAACAGAAGATATTTTATAATTTACTTTTTACTTCCGCCACACACAATTATTTAGAAAAGTCCCAAAATCATTCTGAGAAAACAAAGAACATTTGTTTTCTAATGTGTTATGGTTGTTCTGTAGTTTCCCTAAGCCCCTGCAACTTTAGCATTACCTGCCTCCTACTTCAAACTATAACTTTCCAGTAAGATGAAGCATCGTATTGAACAGAGGTAGGATATATACACTAGGACCTTACATATCAGAGAGACAACAGGCAGTTCATATCTTGTATCAGAGGAATGCAAAGCAAGGCCCCGAGATTCCTGAACACCAAGTGAATTAAAGCAGAGTTTCTCAACCTCAGCAACTTTTAAGATATGTGGACTCTTTTCAGAATTCTGGGAATATAGCGTCCACATATCTTAAAGTGGCCAAGGTTGAGAATCGCTGAATCAGATAATGAATTGCCCTAACTTAACAAGAGAGAAGAAGATCTTCCTGTTCATAAAGTATCACAACAAATTTGACAATGGGAATACTTTCTCCGCTGTCATATCCAGGACAGTTCTTCAATCTCAATCTCCACTATGCAATTGATGAGTATTCCTCAAATGATTCCTCATTTTACTTCAGATTTCCTGAAGCAGATTTCCCACATCCCCACCGGTTGACACCCTGGTTTTTGAAGGGCTGCCACAAAGAGGGGATCAATCTATTTACTAAAGCACCAGAAGGCAAGACAAGAAGAAATGATTGGAAACTAACCAAGGAGAGTGTCAGGGTAATGATGATTTAATAGCTGACCAGCTGCTTAATATTGTAATGCTGTAAAACTGAAATGATGATGCAATGAGAATGAGTCAGCAGGGTTATTTAGCTGTTATCACTTTAAGAGACGTATATATGAGAGGTCCTGTGAGGATATCCCTCTCTCCCTGTGTGCTGTGCTATCGTTAATAATTGATTGCCTGACTTTGCCTAGTACGTGTATGTATATATTCCTTGTAGATAAACCACTATTTGAAAGACAAACCTCTGTTTACTGTATTTTACTCCTGGGTTGTCTCAAAATTGTCACACTGTGCGCACTCTGACAGAGAGAAGTAACCTAGAACTAAGAAATTTCCTGACAAGGAGAACAATAGAATGGCTTGCCTCCAGAAGTTGTGGGAGCTCCATTTCTGAAGGCTTTTAAAAAAGAGACTGGACAGCCATTTGTCTGAAATGGTATAGGGCAGTGATGGTAACCTTTTCCGGACCAAGTGCCCAAAGCGCACAAATGTGCGTGCACACCCGCCCCCCAAAATGCAATGTGCGCATGGCCCCTGTGCATGAGCATGCATGACTCCTGGCCGGCAGGAGGCACGCGCACATGCATGGCACAGCTGAGCTGGGACGACGGCTCACGTGCCCACAGAGAGGCGCTGCGTGCTACCTCTGGCACACGTGCCATAGGTTCATCATCACAGGTATAGGGTCTCCTGCTTGAGCAAGGGGTTGGGCTAGAAGACTTACCACTGTTAATCTGTTATTTTTCCCCATCTTTTCCATCCTCCCAATTAATTCAGAATGGAATGTTGAATGTTGTGACTTTTTTTTTTTGCTCAGCAAGGACTGGAGCTTGAGTTCAGCCAGTTGTGGAATAAACATTTATTCCCTTTGGATCTAAGATGTGCTCAAAGCATTATTAGTCAATGGTTTTTTAAAGGAATTCTTTTTTTCCTGTCCCCTTTCTCTACCCTGTCTCTTCTCGTTTTTTTTTTTTTTTTTTTTGCTGAATGTTAAGGTATTTTCCCCCTGCAACATAACTTATGCTGAAGATCAATGACTTAAGATACCTTCTCCTTTTCCACTATGACTTAGCTCTTAGTTTGATTCTGCCTTCTCAAAATAGAGGAATTAATTACTTTTCTATACAATTCATTGCATGTGTAGACTTTATAATAAACCCAATTTTCCATGCTTTATCGTTTTTAGCATGTCAGATATCCTTAGCTCTCAAAACAGGACAAGGACACACAAAGAAATGTCATTTTCAAGAAACCCATTTTTCCCTTTTACCAAGCTAGCAAATAGTTTTATAAGGTGTTTACAAAATCAAGAAGAAAATGATCCAGTTAATCAAAGCATTACATTGTAAAGATGGTTGAGGAATAAAGGAAGACTTTCAATGATAATCATGTTAGACAAAGCTATATACCTACATATACCTACATTATACCTTTATTTGTGTGGAATTGAATCTTGAGATTGCTGTCTGCACTTGGGAAAAACAGCTGCATCCAGGCAAACACCTCCCATCCGTCTTCTCAAAGGCTCAGCATAGCTTATGCTTTTTTCAAAAGGGCTGTGAAAGTTTACAGCTCCAGAAACCTCATTCATTCATTCATTCATTCATAAATTTATTACAAGCATCCAGACCAGACTGCCTGGCTAATTGAGCCACATCCTTATGTTTTCAAGGATATGCTAATGTTCAGAGACAGCCATATCTTACCAGGCCCTTAGCTTGCAAACATAAACACTAAGACAAGAGTGTATGTGGGTGCGTAGGTGAAAAGGAGATAAGAAAATAGGGTTGGAGAAGCAGGAGGCAATGTTTAGAGATTGACAACTATTGAAGGCAGGCAACAGGGCTATCAGCCAGTTAACTTCGCAGATAACTTGGGGCTTCCAATTTTTGTATTTAAAAGTACCAGTATATTATTTGTCAAGATCTATGCTGATACTAAGAAATTACAAAGTTAAAACACAATTCCTTTAATAACAAGTATATAATAGGGCTTAGTATGCTTTGAAATTTATATAGGAGCACTGCAGACCTCACATAGCACATCTGCTTTTAATTAAAACTGCATTAATCTTAATGATTGACTTCTTGAAACAGTGCTATTTTTTCAGGCTTGTGTGGAACTCTAAACATGAAGTCACTCTGACAATTAGCAGCACTGATGTATTTGTGCATGGTTTGAAGCACATCTAAGTAATGTTGAAATTGTGCAATCTTATTGACAAATCTTCAGGTCACTTAGATCTATCCAATCTATCCTAAAACTCTTCCCCTTTTCCTTAGAATCATACTTCATTTTGACATTTGATATCATTTGGATATAGCAACTAAGTATGTCTAATCCTATAAAATTTATACAGGAATATAGATATTCCCATATAGCTAAAACCAAACTCTACATGTGAGTTAATTTCCTTTGTGACCTAGCCTTATGGTAATATATTGCAGATCTGGTCCACAAAATCCGTAAGTGGCAGTAAGAATTTTCAGTATCTGCTAGCTCTCTCCTTGGAAACCTAGAAATTCTTTTGCTTGACATACAGTGTCTGATGACAAGAAATCCCATGCTATAAAGTCCAGGGAATCACTCTAAGTTGAACTGATAAATTTATCTCAAAAGATTTATATTTTATATTAATTTCTTCTAGAAAGCAATTCACTTTTGACATGTATTTTTTTAAATAAATAAATTGGAAATTGAAACTGACTATTTTCCCCCCTAACTTAGGAAACAATCTAACATGTATACCAGGTTACTCAGCTGATGCACTGATGATTCTTACAGATTAAAATAAACTCTTCCATATGGCTGTAATTCAAGGGTGGAATGCTACCAGTTCTGTTTTTTACCCTCTGCGCATGGGCAGAAGGATCCAAGTGCGCATTTGATGCGTGCAGGCAAGCAAAGTGTACACACACACACGCTGAGTGCACTTCCGAACCGGTAGGGAAGGTAAATAGATTTCACCCCTGGTGTAATTGTAAGTTTAGAGTATAATGGGTTCATATTAAAACTGTTACATATTAGTTAGGTGAGCTGTTGCATACTTTGCAGTGAAATACAAAGCAAAAGAGGGATTGGCAGGAAGCAAGTGAACTGAAAATAGATAAAAGGATATTTTAATTTTGTGCATCAACGTAACATGAAAAAATTAAAACACAATTCTGTTTCTTAAAAAATATGACTTCCTACTTAGGTTTATTTTTTTCCTTTAATACAGTTCAGCATTTCAAAGTTTTGCATTCTACACACTGTTCTCAATTATTAGCATCAAAACACAAGACAGAGCAAGACCTTCAAATACAAATAAATATCAAATAACAATACAACAAACTGAAGGACAACATAGAATAATGCTAAATTAGGAAATTAGGATATGTTGCTAATAGTTATTAACAACATTGTATTGCTGAGCAATAAATTATACACTTCAAAGTTTCCTTTCCTTTAAAAAGAAAATACAAAAATCATTGATTACCAGATTCACTTACTTGCACTGTATCCTTTATAGCTATCTATAATTAAAACAGGCAGAATATACACAATCAAATGAGGTTGGCCTTCTTTGGTCTTTGTTTCTGGATCAGAAAACTGAACACAACCAATGTACCTTTTACCAAAGAATAGAATATGAAATAAAACACCACACAAGTTTACACAGACTGATTTTGTACAGAGTTCATAGTACTGATGCATTTAACAGGTATTTCTTCTTGGAAAAGGATGACCATTTTTTCCATCACATTGAATTAATGGCATTTTATGGATGTTAAAAGGTTATCCTACTTGTCTTAAATAACAGATTCATAGTCCATCATTTCAAGATGGGGTGTCCCGTTACATCCTCATTTATCCTGAACCTCTGGAGGTTTTGGATCCAGTGAAAAAAACTATTTTCTCATACAAACTGTAGAAGATATACATTTTAGAGAGCTAGAGAGAAAATAATACAATACAAGGTGGTTCAGTGCCTTGGCAATTCAATGATTTCCCCCCCATTTTCCAAGTGCCCAAAGACTAACTCTCTGCCAGGAGAAAAGGTGCTGGTTGGAAAATATTGTGTTCACATGCAATAGCTCTGCTAGAGTTCAGAATCGTCTCAGCAGGGAAGGAGTTATTTTATTTTAAAATAACTAAATATTTCAAAACCGGAGTTTACCAAACTGTTCACAATCAGAACTCCCTTTCGTTAGAAACTATTCTTTCTAGAAGTGGCAACAGCAAATTGTAAGGAAAGAAGCAATCTTTCCATCCATCATCTGATAAAAATGGCAAGGGTAAGAGAACGGGATCTAAGTCTAATTTCAAATGTTATGGGTTTCTAGACCTGGGATTCTAATTTAATGCTTATAAAATATGGAGTGCTTGCATGCTTCCAATAGGAATCACTTATTGAAAAAGTATTATAGATATGCACTGCCTAATCCTAAACTTTAATGCATCTGACACACTGGTGCTTGAAATGAGGTATACCCACAGCACAACACGCTTAGCATCATACTAGAACCACGAGCAAATATTTAGGATTAGGCTTAAAACTTTCATGAAATGGAAGACGAAAAGCTACATGGTCTTGCCAATTTGCTAGAAGTTAATTAAGATTTAATCAATCCTTTTTGTGGCCTAATGCTACTTCAAAACCATACAGGATAACCATATTCTGCAGCCATAATAATGCTTCAACTTTCCTCCATTTTGCATTAGTCTCAACAACATTAGAGATCAATTTCAGCATAATATTTTACATTCAAAGGATGGCTCTTAATGAATGATTATCCTCACTGTGAATTTTGCTTATGTGAGATTATTTAGATTCACCTCTATGAAGGACTTCAAATGGGGAAATGATACAATTCCCTTCATTGAGGAAAGGCCACACAATCTACATAGACCAACAAGGTGGTTTGCGTTGTTTCTCAGCTTTAGCTGGCATTTGCACAATAATCACAAGGGAGGAAAAGTGAAGTAATGTGATTCAATTTGTCATTAGAAATGAGGACGGTTCATCCTTTTATGAAGCAGCTTGATGGGGTGTTTCACTCAAGTCTGTTGAAAAAAAGGACTTACTTTGAAATTTGCACAGCCCTATTCTATTTGGAGAAATTTATTACAATGAGCTCCCCCCCCCCCGCACCTTTCAATTCACACAATAAGTAATGAATCTCATATTCACATTCTTTAGGAGCCATGCATGGATGCAAGACATTTATGCTGGAAGTGATCCTTATATTAAAAAGCAGGAAGTAGTAGTTAAGCCCTCAATGTATTTTCTTTAAAATACTTAATTATAATATTCACAGTGCAGAAGTTGACAGAACAGAATTAAGTCATGCGCTTAAAATATTTTTAAGTTCACCTTGTCCAATAAAGCCCTTAAAACTGAAATCTTTAAAAAAAAAGCTCTACCAGAAGTTTTTATGAAATCAAGACACAGGTTATCATTACTGTTGGGCACACACTGGAATATACATACTGAATTTCTCAATCTCATCAATTGCAAAAGTAAAAGGACATCATAACGTGTACATTGGACAAATATGTTCCCAAAGCATGATGACTGATCAGTCAGTTATACAGGATAAAAGCAGGTTCCTTGCCCATTTCTATGGCACAGCAATAAATAACAATGTTTAGTGGCCTAAGAGTAGCACAAGGAGGTCAGAGCCTGGGTATTCTATATAGCACCTACACAGACTTGCCCTCCATAGAACATTCAATTTCAGTTTCTATACAAATAAGCAATTTTGAGGCTTGATTGATATCAGTAAAGCACTGCACAGAGGGAAACTGTACCAAGCACCAAGTTACTATTTGGAGTTGACTGAAACCCCATATTCATTGGTTTTAACTATTATTTTTGATTGATAAACAGGAAAAAAAAAATATTAGACACAATTAACTGTGTAAACTGGTAGACATTTTCATGCTGTCAATTCATTTGTCTGTATAATAGCTCCAATTTCGGTCTACCTATTTTTATCCTCACTTTTGGTCTGAAAAAGAGTACATTTAACATTTGTGGCAGTCCATCCAACACAAGAGTATTTTAAAGCAGCAATAAACTACTTTTTTATATTAAGCAAAGTTGAATTTTACATATCCTGAGCATTCGCTGTTGAATAATAACTTAGTAGCATCCCTAAGCCCTCACTTTCACAACAAGCAGGTGGGAAATGAAAAACTGTCCGGTCAGATAAAGACTAATTACATTACATTTGGCACACAAGTTTTTCAAGAGGACATATTTTCTGTGACGTAAGCCCCCTCTCACTTTTGTTATAGGAAAATGGGAAGTTACTTTAATTATCTTATCTAATCCATACTGGCTACTCTGGCTGACTTTATAGTTTCAAGGACTGGGCAGCAGCTATCTGTTATCTATTAATTTTAGACTAACAGTGCCAAGAGCTGAATGGAGGGGGGGGGCAATCTTTTGAATGCAAAACGTAGGTTCTGCTACTGTCCATCACCTGCTAAGCAATTTCAAAGGGCAATTTGAGAATAACCGCTGAGAAAACTTCAGACACGTCACGTAAAATTATTAGGCCCATAGCTGAAATTATTTTTTTTTAAATCTATCCACTTATTTATACATTTGCATAGTTGCATGTATGAAGGCATCAAAATGACAGGAGATATCGGAATTTTTGTTAAATCATCAAGGTGCAGAAAAATATCTCCCATAGTAGTCACTGTCTAGCAGCCATATTGTGTACCATATTTTAAGAAGCTAGGAAAGCAATATAAACAAGTGTTTTCTCTTTTACAGTTTCTCGGGGCAAATTGTAACATTTTAAAATAATGCAATCTCAACCAGAATATTAAATTAAAATTCTAGAATTCAAAGATTGGCCAGCTGTTAACATCACTGTTTCATATACTCAAATATTCCTTATGCTCTTTCTCACGGTATAAGGAAGATAGCTTTGAAAAGAGATTGGAGTGTATCTCACCTTTATAGGTTAAGAGATCAATTACATTCCATTATCTGTAATACCACTACTTTTTTTTTCTATTCTACATTCTCAAAAGCAGTGAAAGTTACAATATAAGGCTGAAAATGAATGCTGCATATAAGCCACCCAAATTCTTACTGTAAATAATTGAAACAAAATAAACAGTAAAACAATGCAAACACAGTCATGCATATTGATCTTTAGGCACTGAAATAATCTTGGTTGGATTCTGTGAGATTAAAAACAGACAGGTTAGCTTGATAAAAGATGAGATGGCAAACTAAAGTGCTTTGGTAAAATATAAGGGAGCAAAGCTGCTTGGAGATCTAAGGTGAATTGAAAGTAACAGCATTGATACTGTAGTTAGTGAAGAAGAAGAAAACACCGATAACCAAAAACTGACTTAATACTGAATTCTATGTATTTCCATTGAAATAAACCTCCCTTGGGGTCATCATTTCAGAGATATTTCCTTACCTAAACAAAGAAACAGAATGATCATGGGCTGATAAAAAAGCTATGGAATCAGGAGTGGCTTCCATCTTCCTGCTGGCTTCCCCATTGACTTTTCTTGTAGGAAGCTGCAAGGAGAGTTGGAAATGATGATCATGTGTCTGTGGCAGTGTGGCAGCACTGAAGAGGCCACAACTTCACCAAATTTAAATCCCATGGGAGCATGAGTCCCGGATTTTGGATGCATTCTTTATGTTAGCCCATTTGAGATATGTTGATTCAAAAATGGTTGCCTTATCTTAACGAAGGTTAAAAATAATCAAACAGACACAAGAATTTTAGTAGTACACAGAAACGCAAGATGTTTTGTAATATCAAGTGCAACTTTGGAGTGGGAGCATCCAAGGGCAGTACTAATGCCTTTGGGAAAGGAATCCAAAGATATATTTAAAAAAATAACATATTCACATTTTTTTTCCAGAAAAAGAGCAATAGCTTTGGACTTTTTAACATACTTTTCTCTCACTTCAGATAAGATATCAAGATGGCTGGTTTTGTAGGCAGGCATCTTCTTTTCTGCCCTATCTCAACATAAATCAGGGCCAAGCAATGATATAAGCTTATATGATCAAATCAATCATGAAAGTTATTATTTGGGGCAGTGACTGGACTTTTCTTCTTCCCACTATAGAATCACTTTCCATAAAAAATTTACAAAATTAAAAATTGGTTTTTGAAATAATTTTAATTTTTAAATGGGTTAACTTTTGGCAATCAAAACAACTTGGTGATATTTTGCAGCAATATTTGTTATGTTTTATTATAATTTAAATTATATATCCTCTATATGGATTGGGTTAATGTGGACAAATACTTTTATAATCTTAAGGGAGGTAAAATACATAAAATAAAGTAAATCATATAAATGCAAATTCTAATCCTATTTATATGTCATATTCAATTTACTGTATCTACATTTCAGGATACAATTTCTTCCACAAACTGGGGCTATTCATGATAGACTAAACAAACATCCTGTGAAGAGTACTAGAGATACATACTATATAAGCTATCGTTCTTTCAGTCTTTTTGAATAAATATCTTTATCAAAGAATGTGTTATCATCAAGAACATGTAACTTTACAGCCATCCTACAAAACTTACTTCAGAACATGTTAAGGTTGTCTGAACTAAATAATTTTGTCAATAATTGGCTAGCTAGCTTGCTGTGCTATATTAAAAGCATTAGTGAGCCAAAGTGGATGACAAAGAGTATGTTCACAGCATTAAAATTGGATCATTTTGAAGAAGAAAGCATTTGTTTCTAAAAGACAACACCAAAATATATGAGAAGATAACCTCAAGTTAATCTTCTGAACAGTATGTTTTGTTTTGAATGGGAGTTTTCTCATCCCTCATGCTCCTACTTTCTGGGTGCTGGTTTAAAAAAGAACCATGAGCTTATTCTTTTGTGCTTTGGGGAAACAAGTTATTTTTATCAGCTATCAGACTCTGCAGCAGAGATTCCAGCATTTGCATTAATCTACAGGAGTGTGGCAAGAAGAAAAACTTCACATAATGGTGGGAAAAATAGCTACAGCAATGGAGCCATAACAGCTGCCGTAAATATGCTGATATCTGGTCTTATTTATTAACAAGGAAATTTTAATAAAGTGCACAAGTTCTAATTTTATAGCCCAATAAGAGAAGTCAAGTAATTTGTGTTTTAAATGTGTACATATATATTTTAAAAAAGCTTTCAAACTGTTGCACATCAGAGTAATTGGAATATATAAGCCAAAATTGTTATTGGCAATTTGTAGATTTAAGAAAAAGAATTAGAATTGATTTTTTTTTTTACTCAATTTGTATTTTCAGATGTTTTTGGAATAAGGGTTATTTTTGAAAGAACAGATTAGAACAGTCTAGATTTTTAGAACACAATTAACACATTTCAATTGGACATTAACTGCATGATGCAGAAGCTATGGGTACTGAGCCCTTTGGACATCTTCACTAGGGAATCCTGTTTTCAGTAAAATTCTGTAATGCATATACAAAAGCTCAGCTACCTATACTCATGACTATTAGAATAGTATGAGAAGCCAGGTTAATTCTTTCCCCTAAGAAAAGGTGATGGGTTTACATCAGCCTGCGTAAAACTGTGGCATATAGATCTTGAGTAAGAAGTCTTCCTTTTGTATCAGAACTAGAATGGTAACGCTTGCCTTCTTACATTGATTTGTACCAGTTGACACCTAAGAACCATAAGAAAGACAGAATACAGTACCTGAATAATGGAAGGCAAGAATAGGAAGACATATTGCTACAAAATGCTCTGGCTGCCAAATAGCAGGCCCTATTCAAGCAGGTGGCTTGAAAACCCATGAAAACCACTCAGCATGCACTGTATATTTATTAACAGAAAAATACCTCTTGCAGGCACTGGGTAGGAAGGCACAGCCATAAAGACCAATGGCAAGGGCAAGAAACACAACAATGAAACATGACAATTCAACTGAGTCCTAGACATGAACTCTGTCTATAATGCCCAACCTAAGAGGAAAGCTCAATGGATGTAACATCACTGGCTAGACAACAGGCCACACAATTCCTTTTTCCAGGTCCACATCAGTTTGTTCTAGGGGAGCATTCAGGTTACACAGCACCCATGCAATTAAGCAGCACCCACATGGTTGGTGTACGCTCAAGCTATGCCATTAGACTTACTAGTCTCACAAAGGACTATTAAAACAGAAGTCAGTAAATTCTGTGGGTTGCAATCAGCATGATTTAAAGGCTGGAGAATGCTTTCTAGTAAAGCTCAGGTAGTTGTTTAAGTAGGAGGCTCCTGTGGGTTTCCCTGCAGGGATAGGTGTCAGTTTGCCAGAAAACCATCACTGTGAATTGGCTAGCAAATCTATTCTCTCACAATTCTGAATTGAGCCAAATTGAAATGATTAGCTCTGCTACTTTGAGGCATTTTATCTTGCAGCAGTTTCACTACTGCTTTGGAAACTGAAGGGAAGGGGCACTGTCAGAAGTCTTAGCTCCATAGGAGCACTGTGAACAAAAATATAGCACCTGAATAAGTAGTATTTCATTGATGGAAACACTGGCAAGCCAGACACACATCTGGGTTTCCATTTTTGTATGCTGCAAAATATTGGTGGGTTTTACAGATCAGTCAGCACATTATGCCTAAAGTCCAGTTAAAACAAGTATTCTAAGAATCTGAAATTAAAGTCAGAATACAAAACTATGAGCTATAAAGCAGCACGTCACAGCTAAGGCACATGAATGCATGCACGCCACCGTATTTCCATTAAGACACTGCTTTCTCCTAACGGATATCCTCTGTAAGAAACGGTAGAAAAAATTTCTACCTAGAGGATTAATTAGCAGTTTCCCATATAGGTATTACTCAGCACTACGCCTCCTCTCAAACCCAAAAAATATGTTGCACATTTATGCTTTAGCAAAAAATATAATATAATATGTTTATATACACACATCTATTTTATAGAGCTTGGTCTGAGCGCATGAGGCAGAACTTTAAAAACATACAGGATTCCATTTAGAACTCCAAAGTTCAACAAATGCCCTATTTTAGGGTGAAAATTATAAATCTGATAATGATGCACAGCATCCATGAGTGATTTTTTTTCTTAATTTTGAAATAGTGTCATTAACTACGACATATATTGTAGGTTTACATTTCTAAAGAGAAATAACAGCAGTATTGAATAGTTTCTTTTCATATCACAAGTGATAACCTGCATTTGATCTTTTTTTTCTTCCAAGAAATATCAGTCTATCAACAGTTTTAAAATAAAATGTTTTCTGTAGCAATTAATAGAACTCTAAACAAAAATATGACTCTGATTTAGACACTTTTAAGAAGATCTAGACATTTTTGTCAAGGTCTTCTGACAAAGTAATTTTTAAAACAGAGACCAGATGAGGCCTTAAAAATAGACAATATACTGTATTTCAGACAACATTGCACTTAGATGTTCAAAGTAATAATATCTTTAACTGCAACAATACTTCATAATTTTTTTTTACTTAACATGCTGACAGTTTCTAGCTAACCCACATGTGAACTTTTATTTTCTAGTTAAAATGAAAGTAAAGTCTGATGTCGTATTCAGCATGATACTTTTTTTTCCTCTCCCAAATTATTGTCAATAAATTACAAAAAGCTTTTCTGACAGTGATCTTTGTCTTCATGAGGATTAAGTAACTTGTCAGAACTTGAAGTGTTCCTATTAGTTTAGAAAATACACCACAGTTATGGTTTCTTAATGGGTTGCTATGTTTGCCATTGGACCCTATGCAAGTTATACCTCCAAACTCTTCCTCTGTTAACATAAAGTGGTCCTCTCTGAGCTTTAAGGACCTCTCATTGAAGACAGATATAAAAAAGAGCCCCAAATGGAGTTGTCTTCTGTTGAATCTGCCTTTCTGCTATATGTCAGGGGTCTGGTAGATCCGAAGTATCCACTATGACTTTAATAAAAATAGTATCATCTTTAATATATGTTCCATTTTCTAGAACAGTTTGTGCAACAAAGACTGGACAACCAGATGCAATATTCATTTCCCCAGTGGGTTTCTTGAAACTACTGCTGTTGGGGTCTGGCTTGAATGCATCTCCTAAGTGGCGCCGAGAAGGTCCTTGATCCATCAACATAAGGGTGACCTTTTGCTTGAATGGCCAAGGAAGCAATGCATCATATTCTCCCCGCATTATAACAAAGAACAAAGACAAGTGCGTCCCTTTGCCCATCCCATCTCCATTGAGGTAAACCCTGGCACACATCTTATAGCCAAAGTATCCTGTATAAAATGGTTGGCTATATAAGGACAAAGTCTTCCCCATAACAGCCTCTTGCTTTCGACGTTTATAATCTCGAATTTTCCAGATTAATACTCCATTGTAACTTGCTGTTTCCAGGACTTGAAATCGGAGGTCCATGTCAGCCAGACGGATGTCATGAACACTTAGCATTTGATCATGCCTAGATAACTGTGATTCTAGAAGACCTAGAAAGAAAACAAACAAGGGACTTTTTTAAATTTTAAAAAATGACAAATGGATTTTCCCATTGTGCCGCACTTCTTTCTTCATTTACACCCACCAGGTCTTTAAGCAATATGATCGCTAAGTGAACATGTGAGCCTTGCTGCAAAGATTACTGGTTGCTGCCATCTAATTCAAATAAAGTTCTCTTGTACAGCTACACCAGTGTTATTCTCACTCCAGCGGGCAGTATCAGAAACACAGAATTTGGTCATCAGTGTATGTATTGGTTGCAAAATTAATATTTTATTACCATCGTATTTGTGAATGGTAGCTGACCAAGGCAGTTACTTAACAATAAATAACTATATATACTTGAGAATTCAGTGCGAAGAACACCGAAACTTGTTGGATCTTCGCAAAAGATGTTTCCATAGTATAAAACATGCAAAAAGCTTAGGGTGAAATTAGTGAAAAACATCTTCAAATTAATACTTTGATCACATTAAAAAAGAGTCTTCAGAAATAATTTTGTGAATCAATCACACATCTGCAAAATTACACAAATAAAAGGCTTCCTTCCTGCAGCGTGACTAAGTATTGACTGTTCATGTACTTATACTTTTTATTTCAATTTATTTGGCCACCCATCTCAAATGAATGATTCTGGGCAGCTAACAGCATTGAAAAACACCATAAAATAAGATAACAATTATATATATTGAATGGCAAGCTGCCCAGAGTCATTGACTGAGATGACCATAGAAGTTGAATTAAATAAGTAATCAGCAACTAAAGTTAAAAAAAACCCCAAAAGAACCAGCAAACAAATCAATGCCACATCACAGCCTCTACCACACATCTGGATGGAATGGGACAACTTGCTGAAGCCAACTTGCTCCAGTTTTACTTGCCACAGCGAACTCCCTGTGGCCAACTCACCACAGCCAATTTGCCATAGAACAACTCATGTGGGACAATCTAACAATTCAATTTAATTATTTAAAATAAATTAGAAAATATTCTAATTTTTGTCATTCACATTTTATTCTGTCTCTCGTTTTGCATCCTTTCTTTAATGATTCGAGTCCACTGTTTCTTTGATATTAGTCCTGCAGTGAGTTATTCTGTGGTGAATTGGCAGTGGCAAGTTAGCTGTGGTGTGTTTGCCAGGGCAAATTGTCATAGACCCCATCTGGATCTCCAAGCTCAGTGACACAACCATGTTGAGGAAAGATACTCCAAAGGTAAATACAAATTTGTATATGTGGGGGAGATAGGTGTGTGCAGGTATATTTGCATACATATGCAGAAACTGAAATCATATTTTCTGTGGTTTAAATGTTCTACTGCTCTAGTTGAATTTTTTTTTAGTATTATAGGGGGCTTTAATCTCTCTCAGAATTCTCCTCAGTAAATTAATTCTCCATGCTTACCAGAGTCACTTTCCTCTTTTTGGGATGGGAGCTTGTGAAATTTCAATCACCAGCAGAAGCAAGGAGAATCCTACCTGAACTTCAAGCTCTGAATGACTATAGTACTGCTCTGTAATGAATGAAGAGTAATTCAAGGTGCTTTAACAGATGGCAATCCTTTTATATGCTAATTTGTCTTTCAATTGACTAAACAGTATTGTGTGAGCCTCTTAGAAAAGTACATGTCATACTGCTAATTGGTGGCTTTATTGCTTCATTCAAATGAGGCAATGACCTTTTTATTTTATCTGATCCCATTGTGCTGCTCAGAAGAAAGATTCCTCTGAACTAAACATGTATGATGTTAAGCCTTATAGTAGAAGTAACCTCAAGCTATAAATGGGGAATGTATCAAGCCAAATATAATGTAATTAAATACGGTTTTCTTCTTCCTTTAGAAGACAATTGCTATTCGTTTTCTGAATACATACTTTATATACTGTAGTTCAAGAAATGAAACTCCTTTGGAATTCTGAAAACCCTTTTCCCCCCTAAACAATCAAAAGGTAACTCATAGCATTATCAATTATGTGGCTCTTAGCAAACTATATATACCACTTTGCTCTAATGGGGCTTGACAGGACAATGCCTCAGTTGATTTAGCAGCATAAACACTCTAAAATAAACATTATGCAAATTAATAAAAGAATCAGGTTAAATAAATAGATATCTTGCAAGAGGTTACAGGGCAGGCGCATTTCAGAATGTCTAATTTGCCAGAATCTGCCATTCCTTCACCATCTCATGTTCAAACTTACCTGTATTTCTAGCTCCTTGTCCAGTATTTTTATCAATGCTTTCCAATTCAGTCACCCTATTCTGGAGGGACTCAACACTACTCTTCATGCTGTCTGCTTCTTCCCAGTTCTGTCGGAAAGGTCGAATCTCCTTGTCTAGTTCTTTCAGCTTCTCAGCTTGACTATCTATTACCCGCTTTTAGAAAAAAGTAAATTGCATAAATATAGAAGAACCTCAAGGAAAATAATAGTAATTACATAGTAATTATATAAGAATTTCAAATAAACCAGACATGACTGCCTAGTGCCATACTCTGGTACTTACCCATCTAATAAACCTTATTAAATGCAAAACAATTAAGTGAAAATAAAATTTAAGGAAACTTACAAATCTGGACAAGTCTTTTCAATCGATTTTGAACAAACAAATATCTTTGGCATCCATTTAGTTGTGGAAGGAAGTTTACTGAAACATTTGTGTAGCACAATACTACTATTACAGTTGCAATGTGAAAAAGAAATATATTGCTATATTCTTTTTGGCCAGGCAAAATCAACAGAGATGTGAGAAATAGCAAGTACCGTATTTTCCGGTGTATAAGACGACTTTTTAACACATTAAAATCTTCTCAAAAGTCGGGGGTTGTCTTATACGCCAGATGTCATTCTCCTGTAACCAGGAAGACCAGCCCGAAAGGCTCTGATGAGCCAAGCTCTGACCATCCCAGCTGAGTTGCCTGCTAATCAGGCAACTCAGCTGGGATCGCCAGAGCCATGTAAAAGGAAAAAAGTTTTCCCTCTCCAGCTTGCTTACCTTAGCTGCTAGTCGCAACACTTGCCTTGCTTCGTTTGCCTGAATCCATTCCATCAGCAAGCAACTCCCTGCCTGCAATCAAGCAGGCAGGGAGTTGTGGACTTCAATTCCCAGAATTCCTCAGCCAGCAAAGCAAAGCTGGCTGAGGAATTCTGGGAGTTGAAGTCTACAAGTCTTAAAGTTGCCAAGGTTGGAGACCCCTGTTCTATTGGATAAGTTTTTTCCTCCTTTGGGAACTTTAAAAAAATAGTTAATTGGGGTTTTTTTTAGTTGTTCTTTTTTAGACCTAGCCATTTAAAGTTTAGGAAGTTTTAAATTTAGCTTTCATATAAAAATAAAAATAAAATAAAATAAAATAATATTTGTGCAGTTTTCTGAGATTTAGTGTGTTTCTGTAGTGTTTCACTCTAACTACACAAACACACAAAATCTCACAAAGCTGTATGTGGAATTTTGTGTGTGTAAAGTGTGAAAGTTGGTTTTGGGGGCTTTTTGTGGCTGTGTGAGGTTCCTGCTTGTTGCAGGGGCCATTTTGGGTCTAGCACAGCTGCTTTTACATTGTGGGTGAGCCAGCTGTGTTGTGTTGTGTGTGTGTAAAGTGTGAAAGTTGTTTTTTGGGCTTGTTGTGGCTGTGTGAGGTTCCTGCTTGTTGCAGGGGCCATTTTGGGTCTAGCACAGCTGCTTTTACATTCTGGGTGATCCAGTTGATGTTTTTTTAATTTTTATTTGGTGTGCGTTGAAAGAGGGGTAGTCTTATACGGCGAGTATATCCCAAACCCTATATTTTAACAGGAAAAGTGGGGGGTCGTCTTATACGCCCAGTCGTCTTATACGCCGGAAAATACAGTATGTGACTGAGTAAAATCTTGGGGTGAAAAATCACTACAAAGCTTGGTCTCTGTTACTCTCCAACTGTACTAGCTCCATCACTGCAAAATATAAATGTATTATGCAACCAGAAAGAAGGTCCGATTCCTAGTGTTTAGTGGGACAAGGCATATCAATAGGACTTTTGCACCTTACTTATATATCACTCTATGGTGCTATACAGCAGTCTCTAAGTGATTTACAGTGTCAGCGTATTGCCTGCAACAATCCAGGTCCTCATTTTACCAACCTTGGAAGGATGGAAGGCTGAGTCAACCTTGAGCCCCATCAGGATCAAATTCCAAGGTATGAGTAGAGTTAGCCTACAATACTGCATTTTAACCACTGCACTACCACAGCTCTATTGTATTTTCTAATACAATACATTGCCCCATACAATTTGAAAAAGCAAAAATTTTAACTGGAAGCAATTGCAATCACAGGATTTGAAGTGACAAGTATTACTATTCAAACCCAACTTAAATAGAATATTTACTCCAGCTATAATGTTCTCTACGGGATCTATATTATTACAACAGGCAAAAGAAAATTGCAAGTGATTTCTGAATCATTCTTTATCAGTTCCCACCACTAATGATAACTCCTAATCAGTTTCAAATTATAGTATTTCCATATTAATATTTGGTTAAGATTTTTAAGCAAACAATTCATTTATTTCATTTTTGTACCCATGAGTTGCAAAATAACTGGCCAGGATAGTTAATTTCATCTTGCTCTAGAAGGAGAACAAGAAGAAACATTTTGTCTTCTATGTGGCTTCATTATGCTTTATTTGTAAATTCAAACAAGCCAGTGAGGAGGAATTTTAGTACACACACACACACACACACACACACACACGAGCTCAAAGCTCAGGCAGAAATCGTGAAATTTAGGGTTAATGGTATAGACAATATTTTCTCAATTATTCACCCATTATTTAAAAAAAAGGAAAGATGCTCTCAAATTCTTTCAGTTTCATTGTAACACGGAAAAACCATACTGAAAAGTATCTACTGTAACCCAGTGGCATTTCAGAATGACTTTCCTTCCATAATTACAACATTTGAAAATTCAGTGAAAATATTGCATTTTCTCATATTTTTTTAAAAAGATACAAAATTGCTCTAGAACCATGATGGTGAACCTATGGCATGCATGCCAGAGGTGGCATGCCGAGCCCACTCTGCTGGTATGTGCACTATCGCCCCAGGTCAGATCTCCGTGGTGTTTCTTTCATGAACTTCTGTTTCCCTGCAAACAACGAAAGCTCACGAAAGAAAAAGACCTTACCTCTTGCTGCGCTGCTGGTGTTGGGATGCTTCACTTCCCACCGGCCAGCTGGTTTTCGGGTGTCTGCTGCGCATGCCTGCACATGTGTACATGTCTGCGCATTTGCACATTCACGCATGTCCATGCATTCGCTCATGCACCTTTTAGTTTGGGCATGCACCCGCGCAGCTTGGACATTCAGTGTCTAAAATGTTCACCACCACTGCTCTAAAATATGACCTAAATAGATTGTTAAATCACACAGCCATACCTAAATTGGCCTATGCCCTGTCTTTCTGCCCAAAAAAAACATTTTAAAAAAGTTGCCCAGAATGTATTTTCTTTAACAAAAAGAATCAATTAGTTCTGCAGTACTAAAATATGTAGAGAGCTGTACCTTTATTATTTTAACCCACTGTTTTGGGAAAAAGAAAGTCATAAACAATAATCATCAGCCTAACATGTATACGTGTACAATTTACATTAATATATGAATGCCGCTATTTGAGGTAGAAAAGTGACATTTAAACACATTTGGATTTACAAATAATGATATACATTCTCACCATAAAAGCTGTACTTGTGTGTTTTCATATAACTTCAACCAAGATAACCAAGAAGGAGCTATTAACATGCATCTACATTGCTGGGGATTCCTGGGGAAGTGTTTAAGTTTGCAGACTTGACCAGTCTTCAACATGAAAACCAATACCTAAGGAGATGGTTTCTGGTTTTGTTTTGTTTTTACGGAAGGAAAGCCAGAATCTTACCTGCAAGTGATGTATTTTAGTTTCATTACTTCGCAGCATTTCCTTCTGTCTCTCAATTTCTATTTCAAAGCTACAAATTTGATTATGTAAAGTTTGTATGCTCTTGTTCTTTTCCAAACTTTCATTTTGGAGCATGGCCACCTGAAAAAAAAATCCTAAAATTATTTCTCCAAATGTGGAAAAGCTTCAGCTATCTCTCATGGTCAATGAATTACAAAAGAAGTAAGATGAGGATAATTGTGTCATCCTGCTTTGTCTCTTAAACAAAATAAACCTACTGGGGATGTGTTTTGTGGCCAGGACTGAAGCTATTATATATGTAGTAATTAAGTGAAGCTACAAGTGATGAAAGCCAAAATCAGCCTGTAATAATTTTATGAATGAAATCACACAAAGGAAAAAATGAAAGAGGGAAAAGCTTTGTTGATATTCCCTGAAAGTAATCAATCCATGCTTTTGTTTCCTTAAAATTCTCAGCCAACTTTCTAGACTTTTGAACAGTTTCATAAAAGATGGCTAACTAGTATATTTTATTCACAGCATGTGTCACCCATGAGAACTTGCACATGGTTCATCACTGTATTTCTGTCCCTAAAAATATCTTGCATCTGGAATTCAGCCTTCTTGTCTTGCCAAAGGCACATTCTATATATTTGAAACTGAGAGCAACTAGGAAAAATGTTCATGTAAAGCAAACCTTATTGAAAACTGCTAAGGATAAGCATCTATGATCCATCCAATCTGGCCCTGACTATCAATAACAGTAAAAATACATCAAGATAGACAAACATTCATTTTTCTACCATTAGTAATTAAACTGTGTAAGATCAACTAACCCTTCTTTGTTTTTGTTTTTTTTAAAGAGGATGCTCTCCCAACACCTTGCTCTGGAACCCGAACAGTATTTGCAGAATGTTGAACTTTAAAAAACACAGACACACAATGAAGATGTATGCCCAGGCATAGCAAAACTCTAAAAACGTTATTTATCTTACTTCCTACCATTTCAGAACCAGCCTCAGGCAGATTAGGTAACCTTCCAAGGTGGTATCACCACAAGTAGCATTCACCATCCCAGAAGTACTGCTTTATATTCATACTAAATTCCCCTGCTAATCTCAGTTCTATGAATAAGTGTTTATCCTAGAATTCTCTCAGGGAACACCCAGTATACCTGTTCACATATTCTAGTTTAAGATGACAAAGCTACAATACAATATCAAAGGCAATACAATTTGCAAGAGATGAGATGATTCCTGGCTATTTTAGAAAAGATGCATATAAAGATATTCAGATTCTGCATTGGTACTTGTTGCATGTAATATGGTGCTGGAATCTGTAGCCCTTCATATGTTTTTTACTGATTACTGGACTCTATTGCCTAGGACAGCTGGCCCTTAGAATCTAAATCTAAATAAGAATACCATAACATAATAACCTATGTCTTTTTTCATATTCTTTCTATTTATTAAGACAACCCGGATAACAGAATGTTTCAAACTTCTCACATAATAACATTTTTCCCAAACTGGTGCTTTCCAGATATTTGACCAATTCTCATCAAAGACCATGTTACCTGAGAATCATTTTGGAGTTGAAATCCAACATAACTAAATCAAAACAAAAGTATTTTGAAAGAAATATTACATAAAGCTTTATTAAAGATAAGAATCAGGTTCAAATTTCACTTTAGATTTTCAATATTGACACTTGAAAGCCAGTCTAATTTTCTTTTAACAAGGCACTAGCATCACACTTCTGAAAAAAATAAGGCTTGAATTTGTAACTTGTTTCTACCCATACAAAACAGTTTTCCAACAAAAATGGCAAACCCCACGTTTCTGAAGAAACTATTGTTTAATTGCAAGTTAAGTATGTCAAATCCTAGGGCTGTTCTTTTGAGATTCAAAGACTAAAACCGTTTCAGAATATGTATCTGCAACTCCTTAAACTAAGCACATCTTTTCTCAGGATTGTGAAGGAACAACTACGGACTACTGGGAAAAGATAAATCTGCTTTAAGCTACTGCAGATGGATATGGCAGGGGTATCCTCATGCACTCTAAACCATGTACTTGCCTTTCATCTGAACAGCTGTGTTAGATATCACTTCTACCTTTGAGCCACCTTGAACAGAAAACAGTGTTTTTATATATTTCCTATTATGTTACTGAGATATTCTTCTAGGTTTACAGAATACTAGAACAGAAACTGTACTTTGGTGAGATAGCTGAGAACTTTGACTACTTCCAGAAGAATTACTAATATTGCATAATATTGTTAATATTCCAGAAGAATTGTTAATATTGTACATGAAGAAGATCTCTTATGCCATCTCTCCATTTTGCCTGTTTTTCTTGGAACACAGACAAACTATTTAATCAGAAATAACAGAATAGAAGCACAACTCTAAAACATGAATGTTCTCTGGCATTTCCCTCTGTGGGGATAGAGATGGCGTAGAAAAGAGAATTCCAGTATCAGCAGTGATGCTCATTCCTTCTCTCTGAAATACTTAAGGTATTGTGAGAACACACACAAATATCTCAGACATCTGCAAGGGCATTAATGATTTTGAGAAGTGTACAAATAAACATTAAATTGGTTTAGCTAACATCTTGAATGCTACAATAGCAAATACTGACTTCTGTTATTGGGATGCAAGAAAGCTAGCATCATGACTGGTGGGTTTATTTCATTGTTATATAACATGGGAATACTGATAATGTATATTTCAGGAAGTCTAATGTTAAAAATGTATATGCTGGAGTGTACTATATTTATTATTATATTTGTTATGTAAGGGGAATAAAGAAGAAAGAACAAGAAGGAAAAAGACTGGAGTTGGAACTATTATAGATAAGTTTAAGTATACAATTTCATGATCCAACAAGTAGAATAAACCTTACTTTGCAATAAAATATAACAGAAATTAATTCTGTGAATGATGCATTACAGTTCTATGAGCAATAAAAAAAACCCAGAAATGCAGTAACATTTTCTGGCACAGCCTCTGTCAGAGATAGTTAATCAGTTGTAAATGATAAAAGCCTTCAGCTCTATTATTAAAAGTCCCCAACTCCTTTCTTTATGAGATGAACCCAATGGGAAATATTTTATGAGAAGCATCCAGCTAAAAACACAATATGAATATGCCACTGATTCATGAAAAAACTACTTCAATGTTTATTTTTAACTATGAGTTTGGTTTGGATTTGCTCTTAAATTTAAGTCATTTCATTGCCTTTAAAACTGAAGAGTACTTAGATAACCACTCTAAATTCCAGAATTTTACCTGTGCTCCATTAATAAAAATATATTAAGTATGAAAGATAATGTGAGCAGGAGATGTACCTTATTTTCTAGACAATTACTCCACTCTTTCAATAAGTCTACATGCTGCACTGCTGAGGTGGCTTCGTGTGCTTTAACTTGCTGGTTTGTTCCCTGTGACAAAGAATATATTTTAGCCAGCTTCATTTCTTAGCAAACCTACACTAAAGTATAGCATTTGCCCATCTACAATTGAACAGTATTATATATTAACCCACTGACTGATGCATTTTTCAAACATATTACTGGAGACCTATTTTAATAAAAAAAAAAAAAAACAGTACAAATAACAACACAGATTCAACTTTCTAATAATTAGTGATGCACCAAAAATTCTTCTTAAAAATTTTAAAACGTAACAACTATGTTATCGTTATTTCAAATCACATTTCAGAAACATTTATCTAACTGAAGATTACGCAGTATATTTTTTAACAGTAAAATGTTCCACAAATGCTGCTCTATAGCAAATAATTACCTCAAAAAGTGGCAAAAACTCTGCCTTTTTCTTTAAAGGATTAATCATGACCATCCATTCATTCTCAATTAAACCATCTCTTCCTTTCACTGTTTTACCATGCAAATGTTAAGTTCCCTTATCTTTATAGCAAACTCCCCTGGGAAAGCATCCTATATTAGAGCCAAATAATGGGTGCTGGTGCTTCCATCTTTGTACATGGTTATATAGAAATGAATAAGGGAAATGACATTTTTCTCTTTCTCATCCTAGTAAAACTGGAGTTATCCAATCAAGATAATTTACAAGAGATTCAATCAGACAAACCAAAAATGTTTTACAGACCTACAGTTATATGATATGACAGACATCAACATAAAAGGAGTCTAGACAAATTCACAGTTAATAAAGTTATCAATGATAATTATATACCACCTTCCGTGGAAGAAAAGGAAAATACGATTTTTTTTCTAGAAAAATCTAGTTGATTATGGAGTGATGATATGACAAGACTATTGGCTCTGAGATGTCTGCATGATTTTAAATTTCTGTGGCAGCACCAATCTCAAAATATTAATCAGTTAAGATTGGTGAAGGTCATCTGGGCTGCTACTGATCACTAGCAGATCTGAGACCTATAAGCTTGGAGGGAGAAGGCAATGGCAAATTATATCACTACTGTTGTTAAGAAAACTACATGGATATGTCCATGAAGTTATAAAAATTGAGTTTCAACTCAATTACCTTCTATCCATGACAGAAGAAAGAAAGGACAGGCAGTTGGATATTATCAACAGTGTGGTTTTGAGGGCAACAGTTGTAGGAGTCATTTTCTTAGTTATATTAAAATTCCACAGGAACAAAACTTGGTGGACTAGATCAAAATTTCTAGGTTATCAAAATGCTTTTGTACAGAGACATGCCGTTTCAGCTGAATAGACTGAAATGAAAACAGTCAGACCCAATTCATCTACCCCCCAGAAATAGCAGCACTGCCTGCTTTAATAAAATAAAATTCCCTACTCTAAAGAATGTACAGAACACAATATAGTAGACACAATATAGTTCTGCATCTTATATAATTGAAGAAGAAATTATAATATGGAGTACTTAAGGAAAAGACTGTATTTGCCATTCCTTTTTGTCATATTTTTAGTACACATGTCATTTTGATAAAGGTATTATTATGTAGAATAAGTTGCAAATGTAGTATCCTTATGTCAATATGTACATTGTGTTTCATATATTCAAACTATATGTAAAACACATATATATTCAAACACACAACATAAAAATAAAGAAGGAACAGGAAGCAATCCTAACATGAGAGTCTATTTCTTCTTAGAGCAAATGTGTTATATGCAAACCATTTAATTTGCCATTTGGTGTCTAGAGACTTTTAGAAGAAAATACTTTATTTGTCTTGTTACTTCTTACTGATCTTATAACATCATTACATGGAAATATAGCCCCATTTTAAACAGTGAGAATGATAGCTCTGTATGGAACTTGGATTACACTACCCTTCTTTTCCAAAATATTGCAAAGTGTTAAACTATGGGGGACAAAGGATTTTGTGGATTCAACATTAGATTTTCAAAGGGGCAGTTAATATTCAAATAAATAAAATTAAGTCACAGGTCACACGTCTACAAGATAGATTAGAGAGAAAAAAAACATGCAGGGATTTTATTTCAGTGAGCTACTCTTTACCCTTATCCTTTTTAATATAGCTCTTTTGTTGGAACTTAACACTGATATCAAATAAGCAATTTACAGAAAAACATGTACTGCACAACTTAAAATAACATAGCCTTGCTAAAAAAAAAAAGCCCATCTTCTACTATACTAATTTGTTTTTGCCGATTTAATTCTCATTGTCAAAAGAGACAAGTATGTTAGCACTTACAATAATATTTCTAACAGATTTGTACTGGACTAATATGTTTAGTTTTCTTGAACACATTCCACTAAATTCTGAATCTATGTGGAATACATATCCAAGCGAAATTCACAACAGCGGAAGTTATACAAGTTTTTAGCCTGCTATGGATTTCATTCCACTCAAACAGGAAGAATTGAAATGTTTCTTTTCTAACGAAAAAAAATGTATTGCTGAAACAGCTGAAATAATTGCAGTCTGCTTTCTTGAATTTAAAAATGTGTCTTGCATATTCTAAATTTGATATTCAAAACTCTTGAAACCATTTAAATTTCTAAAGTATGAAAAAAGAAAAGAAAAAGGACATTACTGTAAATCCAATACGAAGCTTTTAATCACTCAAGCAACTGGATGCATTCTCTCTTCATGGATAACAAGAGACATCAAATCCAGTCCAGAGAGTTATTAATAATATTTTCTTATTGCAGACTTTCATCAAGTATATAAATCATTATATACTGACCTGAAAAGTGCAGCCATAACGCTTAAAACTACAGGTACTTGGGGCATTAATACATTCTGACAAATGTGCATTCAACTGTAATAGGAAAAAAATGTGAGTTTTTTTGGGGGGATGGAAAATGTATGCATAATAAGATTAAAAATATATAGGGGATGCAATACAAGTTTGTATTGTGGTTGATTGGTTTTATTTTTATTTTAAAACCATGTGTTCATATTACCTCCAGTTGTACTTGAGAGTATACACATACACATGTAATCACAGGAACATTCCAGTAGAATATACAAATTGACACATTTACAGTGAAACCTAATCAAATAATCATTTCAGCTAATTTCAAAAGGATTTCAGTGTGTTTTTATCGAAAAGCCAATTTTTCAAAAGTCACATTAAGTAACCTGAATGGGACAATCATTCTGGATAGAGGTTTCACTGTATTAATGCACATCCTTCCCCCTCAGGCCGCTTCCCAAATTTTTAATTCAAAACAGATTTTCATGCAAAATTCCAGTGATAAGAAAATAGAACATTTTGACAAGAGACTTTAAACAAATATCGCATGAAACAAACATGTACATTTGTAAATTAAATTTTGTATTTACTAAAACAGCACATAGAAATAAAAGTTGTTTAAGTAACTACATGTTGTTTCACACTGCATGTATATATATATATATTAAACTATCTTAATGGAGACTAAAGTAGATATGAGACAGGAAAAAGTAAATAAAGGAATAGTCTTCATTATTCCACAAAAAGCTTTTGGATCCTCTGAAGCAGGTGTGTCAAACTCCACTTCATTGAGGGCCACATCAGGGTTGTGTTTGACCTCGGGAGGGGGGGCAGGTTGGGTGGGCCAGCTCAATGTCACTCAAGGCTCCATTTTCGGCCATGACGGCCACCTGGAACCCTCTGCCAGTGAACACAGAGCCCGGGGAGGCCACTCCATTTTTGCTGGCAGAGGGCTCCAGGAGGCCATTGCAGCCAAAAACGGAATCTGGGCAGGGCTGCGTGCGGCCCTCCCAAGCTCGGTTTTTGCTGGCAGAGGCACTGCAGGCCAGCCCTTCGCTGTTTCCAGGACAGGCCCAAGGGCCAGTTCTAAGCACGCCTTGAGTTTGAGACCCCTGCTCTACAGCATCACTGAATACTGACTACACTGAAACCATGGCTACTTGATACAATGTCAGTGGTCTTGTTCCTCAGCCCTCTGCTTGCAACTAATGGATATTTGACTCAAGATCATGGAGTCTGTAAAATCGCTACAGCTCAACTTCTTGTTTATGGCATATAATAGATGCATGACAAAAAACAGTTTTAGCTTCACTTTACAGCATCAGAATAAGAATAACTGCAGGTAACATAGGATATGCTTCCATTTTTGTAAAAATTAAATTTTTTTAAAAAGATGCTATAGAAGTTGGGGGGGGGAGTCCAAGAAACTCAACTTCCTACAGTAATTTTTAAATAAAGAACAACAGCCAATCCATACTTCTCAAGAAGTAATTCTTTAAAATTGAATAATATCATCCTAGAGAAAAATCTATTCAGTGTAAAGAGAATGGCACAAATTCATTTTCCTGAACATTATTTTTCCTCCCAGACCTCACAATTTTACTTGGTCAGCTTCGTAGAAAGAAAGCTACCTTCATTTTTTTATGCATTCTTGCCCTCTGTACTACACTTATTTTTTGGTTGAAATGTTCATATTAGTGGGAGATTTTCAAGGCAGTGGAAGAGATTACTAATTCACTGTTGGCAAATCAGATGACTTAAGCAATAAGATAGAACCATGTAAAATAGCTATTTTTGCCATTTCAGAAAATTTTGGATAAACTTTGTTTATAATTTAAACTCAATAAAATTATCCCACAAAAGTATAACCCCAACTATGATATCGATATATAAGCTTTATTCAACTGTAATGATTTTTCTGAATTTATTAAATAATCTAGACATTATTTGCTTATTACAAAACCTGATCAATCATTTGTAGGGGTTTGGCTGATGAATTTTGGAAGCTGAAGTCCACAAGTCTATTTCACAAACCCACAAGTCTATTTCTGACCCAAATCTATTTCCCAGTCAGTACTGAAACCACCAAACCTTATTAAATTCAGTGTAAATACTAAGCATTTTGGGATGTTTATTCTACAGTTAATTCAAATACATCTTCTGAATAGTTAGTTCCTTCCCTGATTCAAACCTGTTTCCATTGGGTCAATAGACCTCTAATAAATGTTCTATCAAAAGAAGACATCCATATTAATCAGACCAATAAATACACTCATCATACGATAATTTTTTTCTAATTAGGGTCAATGAATATGATTATAGTTATACACACTGAAGGTGAAGCATCACATTACTTCAATCAGTTGTATAGTAATGCAAGACATTACCATTCATTTGAACTATGAAGAAAAATTGCTTGGCAGGATATGGAATGCTAAATCATCTACCTAAATTTCTCCTCCAGGGCTTTTTTTAAACCCAAGACAGTTTTGGAGTTCATTTGGAAAAGAACTTTGGAAATAAAATGACTAAAAAGGACTGGAGAAGTATTGCCAAGGAATGATTAATGTATTTTCTGCACTTATTTTTGCTCAGACAGACCAAAACAAACAAACAAACAAACAAACAAACAAACAAACAAACAAACAAACAAATCCTCCTCTATCTCTAAAGGTAGTTTTTAAATTTCATTTCAGGCAGAATTTTCATCCTGTATGACTGAATCATCTTTAATGTAGGTTGTAGGTATTTGGGCTAGATATTACATTACATGTATATTACTTTAGCTCCCAGTACAAATAGATTCTCAAATCAAAGAGAGTATTGGCGGAAATAAATAAAAGCTTGTATGCTGCTTTCTTAGAAATATGGTGCCCTTATAATGTAAATTATAAGACAAAAACTACAGATTATGAACTCAGTTGTTCATGTCAGCCTAACAGTCCAATGGCTCTAACCTTACCAAGCAATTACACAATTCTTAAAATCTCCTATACTACACATTAATTACAAATCACAAACAAGTTTTTCTGATACCTGCGACAATTAAAGAGTTTTAATGCAGCGTATAATAAGGGTAAAGGGAAAAAATTGTTGCAATCACTGCAGATGCTTGTTTACTTATTTATTTAAGAAAATTGCAGCATTGTATTCTGGGAATTTAGGAATACCTTTAAAGTTAATTTCAGCAACAGAAAGGTTCCCTTGTTTTTCAAATGTATTGGAGCTGCTTCTGGAAAATTACTTGCATACTATTTCAACAAAAAACATTCTGTAGCAACTAATATAATGCAGCATGTTATCTGATTTTATAAACAGCTCTGCAATATGATTTTTTACCTCTTTTCTGAGGAGTGCTGAAACACTGCACTGATGAGGACATGTAACCATAACACAAGGACAGTCTGCATCTTCATGTTTCTAAGAAAACAATAGGAAAAGTCATGTCATGTACTTGTACATTCATAATCACTTATCTTGGACAAAAAATAAAATGGTGAAGAAGTTGTTTCTTCAAAAAAATAACATGAATTTATAACCTGTCAATATAATTTATTTTTAGGACTGAAATATCTGCCTTTTAGAGATGCACAAAATATTTCTTCCTCCAACCTCCCATTTCAAGTGTTCCAAGTTTGAACAAAATGTACATTATCTTCAGTTCTATTATCTGGAAGTAAATGTGCACAAATCATTTTATGATGACATAATTTTCTAGGAATGCATTTTGCTTGTTAGTTGTGCAGCAAGGTGTGTGTGTGTATGCACATGTGATGATGTATGATATATATACATATCACTTTTTAAAGTGTATGTGCATGTCTGTATGTTGTAAGCACAACATTTGATTGCAGCACAGTAATGTTTTATAGAGCAAAAATAAAGTGGATACTCAGTAATAATCCATTAAGTATCCTACTCCTAACAACTATCTTACCATCTCCATCTCTCTCTCTCTCTCATCTATTTTCTCTCTCCCTCTCTCTACCACTGCCCCGCCTCCCTAGAAATGGTTCTATTCATCCTCTGTCAGATAATTTTAAAACACTGGCTGATTTTTCTGCAACTGTGCATCCTACCTATTTCTATGATAAAAAGAAGATTGCAAGGCAGTCACAACCACTTCCTACTATTTCATTCAGAGCTTGAAACATTCCATATTTGGCTCGAACAAATACATGAACCCTTCAGCTGTTTCAAGTTCTTTTTCAATAGGATACAGGCAGCACAGAATGTTTCAAACAGGGTTTTGTTTCAAGCTTGAAGCAAAACACAACTGGGCTTATTTTTCATATCTGAGAATTTAAGTACAAAATATAGACTTTAGAAGGCTACAGGCATGCATTTTGTCCCACTAAATCCCGAAATCTGCAAAGGAACCTCTAAAGAAACAAGGTTTTAATACTGCTTCAATCAAGGCAATAAAAGTGACTTTAGGAGACTTCAGCCTTTTGGACTTTTTCCATTTACAAGGCTGCTAATTGTAATGAATCAGAGAAAATGTGCATTATTATTATATTAAGAGAGTGCATATGGCATTGAATGAGCTGTCTGTCTTAAAGGCTCCCAGATTCTTCAAAAGACCTTGTTCACCATAGATAGTTTCCTGAAAAGTTGTTTTGCCCTCTAAGAAGGCATACTTACTTGTATCATAATGATGGGTACTTGGCTTTTACAGTATTTACATGTTGTTTCACGATAGTTACAGTTTTTTTCTATATGATCTGGTAAATCTTTTCTCAGTATTTTTTCTTTACAATCAGTACGAGGACATGGAAGTTCTTCAAAGAGACAGTCATTTCTTAGATGTGTCTGAAACCAACAAACACCAGGTCACCAATACATGAAAGGTAATACATTTAGTTTATTTATCAATTTAAAGATAATGTATCTTGTTAACTTTATTTAGTGATTGCAAGAAATTCAAAATATTCTTCCCCCTTGTTTTTCCTTGGGCATAAATATAAGTTAATATTATATTAAGAGCTGAGAAAAAACACAAAAGCCTGGTTGCCAATAAATTTGAGATTGCCACCCAGAAGTTTGAAACATCTGAATCTTCTTGCAGTAGCAGTGCTAAAATATGATAAAGATAGTCCCTGACTACAACAGTTCATTTAGTGATCCAAGTTACAACAGCACTGAAAAAAGTGACTTATGACCATTTTTTATACTTACAACCATTGCAGCATCCTCACAGTCATATGATAAGAATTCAGATGCTTGACAGCTGACTCATATTTATGACAGTTGCAATGTTCCATGGTCATGTATTCATCTTTTGCAACCGCCTGACAAGCAAAGTCAATGGGGGAGACAGATTCACTTAATCTGTCGCTAGTTTGACACCCCTGGTCTACAGACTTAACTTACTTCATACATTACAACTTTGATGTGGGGTTTTTGTTAAAACAATGTGTAATTTAGGTTCAATTAACACCACAAATCATATAATCACCATTCAATGATCAAAGGAGAGGGAGAGACAAAAACATATTTGAAGGTTTTCAGCTACTTACCAGCAACTGTCCCAAGGTCAATTGATCTCGACAACCTTTGTTTTCATTTCTGCAGAATATCTGAAGGGCTAGAAGCTCCCTTCGGCAGCAATTATCTTTAAATATCTAGAATTAACAGACATTTAATAGAGTTATAATTTTAGTGATGATCTAAAGGTTTATCACTTTGGCACTAATCCGCTTGATGTAAATAACTACATTCTGATAAATAAACTTCTCTTAGAGAATTAAAATATATAAACATAAATTCACATGAAATCTGACAAACTATTTTAGAACATTTTTAAGAGTAAAAAATTTTGAAGGCAATTGCTATACTGCTACAAACTGACAATACAAGAACTTCTTCACTTTTCTTTGCACAGCAAGATGTATTGTGTAAAGTCTGAATTAGTTTGAAAAAAGACTCGTATAGATCACATTGCACTATAGAGTACACGGTATTTGCCCTGATCATTTTTTATTAGCAGTATCTAGAAAATTATACATAAGAATAGTTCTTCATTTTGTAATAAAAGGAGGAAGATGGGCAGTTCCTAAATATGATAAATAAATAAGTTAAATAAAAAATGTTGAGCTATAATTTTTGACTCAGTCCAAAAGGTGAGAAAATGAACAAATATCCCATTTTAGCCACAGAAAATTGCAATTATATTTTTCCCACATTAAAGATTGGTTGGTACAGATTTGTCTTTAAACAAAAAAAATTTGCAGTCCAAGGAAATTTTCAGTAACCTTTAGGACTTTCTGTGTACTTCCAACTTTTATTAATATCAACTATAGTAGAGAACCATAATTCAATAGAAATTGGAAATACTACCTCTCCTCTCCTACCTGCTTATGACCCATCAAGGAGTTGGGTGATAAAAGTAACACATCTTTCAACTCTAATCTTTTTGTGTTCACACAAGGATTAACTGCCCGATCATACACCAGCGGTCCCCAACCTTTAAGGCTTGGTGGCCTGGTGGGGAGTGGGGAGAAGGGAACTGGCCTACCACTTTTGCAAGTCGAGCTGCGTGCATGTGCGCCCGCCCACTGATCATGCAAGTAGAGCTATGTATACGCATGTCTGCCGGCCAACCAATCATGTGGCCTGGTTCCCAACAGACCATTGCCCGGGGGTTGGGGATCCCTGCCATGCATTATTTATATAGCTACAGACTGATTTTGAATTGTTCCAATTGTTCTCTAGATTCATAGCTGTCACTTATACAGCTGAAGCAAAGTACATTTCCCAGGATTGTCTATCCTCTTCTTATTGGAACACATATGGACACAAAATTTATAAGGTGAGTTTAGACTATCTATAGAAAAGCAGACCTTATGTCAATGCTTACTGGTTTTAAAGTAGATTTTATGAGGCAATAAAAACATCTATAAAGAGTAATAAGGATCTGTCACAAGTGACTAAGGAGCAGAGAAATGAATAAGATAACAGGACTGTGCACTAAGCAATGTTCTATATGATAAATGCTACACAACCAGCTCAATTTGAAATCCAGATAAAAAAAGTATATAAAGGAAGAGCTCTAGCAGGTAAAATCAGAATTAATATCATAGAAGAACAGTTCAGGCACTAAAGAGGTAGTACAACCTCTAAAGCACCCTATTATTTTGTTATTCAGTAGTAGAACATTTGGACTTGTTTTTTTTCAGTAAAGAAACATGAGCTAAATGGTATTAACTTTCAATTGCCAGAATCTGATTTTAACTCTTCTTTAAAATGAAAAATACACATTTTTACTAGTGCAAAATGCAATTGGTCATGTCTGCTCAATGGAACTCTCAATCACCTTCTGAATTTCAGCTGGAAGATATCACAGGAAATATATAATACCTTTCTTTGCATCTGTCAGCGAGTTTTCTGATAGAATTTGGTTGGCCAATATTGCAAAGAGCAAACTGAACTGCAGCCACCCCAATCTATTCTTTAAATATGTTAAGGGTACAAATGCCAGGATTCCCAACACTTCAGGTTCTGTGGAGTATATACGCAGTACAACTAAGGGCACCAAATGGGCAAGGATACTGGACTGTATGCTTCCTCATTTTTAATTTTTCAGTATTTTCCCAGTCATGTGTGCATGCCATATCTATATTCTCATAATGCAAAGCAGCTTCCTTGTGGAAGAGCAAATGTATATCTATTTTTGGAGGCCCTAGCGTTAAATGTTTTCTCTCTGCTACCTCTGGAGATTGGACATTTATCTTTGGCTATCTGCATGCATGTGTATTTATAAAGAACAGCTTCTCTTAATGGGCATTGTCAGAGGAAATGTTTGTATATGTAGTTGTAGACAACTGAGCACCATTCAATGTTATAAAATATCTCAAAAAAAGGGATTTATGACCTAGATTTGAAGTTCCAATTTCACACACACCCCTGTGTCATGTGACTGCATTTTTGGTGCCCAGCAGCCAGCCTGCCTTTATGGCCATTTGCTGCATTTCATGGTCACATGACAATGATTTACTCAGTCCACCCCCCGCCCCCGGCACTTACTTCCAGCTTCTGGCAAAAAAAAAAAAAGCACCCTATTGCGAACAATGGATTTGCTTAATGCCCACCACAGAAAAGATTGGATGCGGTCACAAGGGGACCCACGTTATGTCCATCACGACTTAACAACCAAAATTGTGGGCTCAATTATGATAAGTCAAAGACCACCTGTATTTGTTCAAAAAGAAGTCTGTAGCCAACCTTGTTATTATTTATTTGTGTACACCATTATAAAAATAAAATAGCAAGTACTATTTCCAGCCCACTGAATGGGTGAAGCTTTAGGGAAAGCCAGAAAAAATCAAAAAGATCTGTTCATTCAAGAACAGCATTGATAAAAACTCTGCAGTTAAGAAATGCAGAGATTCATTTACATAGCACAAAACCCTTTTCTAATTCGAGCTATATTGTTAAATGGATTTTCAAAATATAACCAAACCAAAGTATTGTTACACTAATAATGGTAACAGCAGCAACCGCAAAATTGCAAAATTATGGGGGAAAATTATACCTTATCCTTCACTATTGTTTCTTGACATGCTGTACATTTTGGACTTGTGGAACTAGAAGAGAAAAAAAACCCTTGATTTTAGATTATAAATTTTTATAGAGATATAATTAGCGATAACTAGAGAGAGAGAGAGAGAGAGAGAGAGAGAGAGAGAGAGAGAGAGAGACAGACAGACAGACAGACAGACAGACAGACAGACAAATCAGAAAATGGAAGAAATGATGTAGAGATGAGTGCATTAATATTAATGACATTCAGATATATGTTGACAGAGAGACCAAGGAGACAGACACAAAGTCAAGAAAGACTAGACTGGAGCAATATTATTGTTAATGTAAATTTTGATTTATGCAATTCAGGATACATTGTTATACACACAACTGCTTCATTGTTCTTGTGTGCCAACACATAGATCAGGGGTTCAGTTTGTGATGCTATGGGAGCCCATAGGCTTAGGTATATGTTTGTTGGCATCTTCTGCCAGGGTATCTGTTCCACCAATTTTCTACATTCTTTATTTAAAAGTAAATAAATAGGAAGCAAAACATCAATCTCAAATACAATCTGTATCCGCAGCAATATCTTTGAGACCCAGAGAGGTCTATTCTTGGAAAATAAAATAAAAATGTAGAGCAGTATTTTAGCTGAAAAACATGCCATTGGTCTGGAAAGAAAGAGAATTAAGCTGAGGTGATAGATATCAGCAGAAGAGATTAGAAGAAGTAATCTAGTTTGCCTTCTGCTACATAGATTTTTTTTATGATTGTCATGCCTATTTTTTAAATTCTTGCAGTGTGTGGACAACCAAGGTTTTGCCATGGCATTTGTTTAAAATAGAGCAATAATTGTTACAATACTACACTGAATTGTTTGTCCAGCATTTGAAATACAGCTACCATCTTTACAGTTCTTGACCATTTTTAGTCCATCTGAAACTTTATTTTTAAAAAGCAACAGTTCTGCACTGGCTGTATTTTTTTTTCTTTATTGTTTGTTCCTCCGGTAGAAGCACAATGCTACAAACTACATTCTGCAGCAGACCAAATAGCAGAAAGGTCTCATCGTTTTCTAGTCCGTGCTGAATCTACTCGAGCGGCTTGTTTGTTCTCTTGAACTGCTATGTCGTAGAGATTACTGAGCAGTAATCGTCACTGAGAAATCATCAGTAGCTCTTGTATTTGTATCCTCAAATGACCCAAAGAAGTACTAAAGCTTCACAGCTTCATCACTGAATGCTAACATGTACGCCAGACATGGGAGAAAAAACTATTCTGAAAATCATCATTATGACACATCTTTCATTTATTTTAATAGTTGCAAAAGGAAAAAAAAAATACTATCATCGAAAATAGTATTTTGAAAACCACTGTTCAGGAAGGCTACTGCATGTAAAGCAACAATGCAGGAGAATGCTAGATACTAAAATGCCTTTTGTTCTTTTCAGATTTTATATATTTAAATTTACATTCATTTATTATTTCCCGACAGAAAATATTTTAGTAATATACCAATGCTAAACATTTTATATCAGAAAACGATCAGCTAGAAAGTTAATACATAATCACTTTAATCGGGAAAATCAGGAAGATACATTTCTGATATCTGCATATTTAAGGATGGATCAAGGAGGACAAAGTATCTAAAATCTGTGCAGTGAACTTAATGGCAGAAATTTGTAATTAGGAACTACCAAGAACAATAATTCAACCAGAGCTACTGTAAAAGCCTTCAATTTCTTTTTTTCTACACATCTGTAAAAGTCACACTGTTGTTTTCTGTTCATTCAGCAATTATAGATATTTTAATTTTGCAGTCTTACTGCATTATTTCAAATTCCTGTAAGTTTTGTATCAACAATCACACAGATGCAATTTAAAAATAAATTATTTCTTGGATACTTCATTGCTATCCTACTTTTGGGGTAAGGGTGGGGGGAAGAGCTTAAATGTTCTTTTGCAGATAACACTCTTTGAATATTGTATTATAGATACAGATAATCAGAATGGTCAATGCAATCCTAATCATCTCCCAATTCATGGAAGAGCAGCAGCTTCTATTTATAATAACACATATGCTTTTTCTAAGGCGTTCTGGAAGCAACAGGAATTAGAAATGTTTTGAAGTGTAGCATAATATTAGAACAATGTTTCTCATCCTTGGCAAATATAAAGTATATGGACTTCTACTTCCAGAATTCTCCAGCTAGTTATGGAAAATTCTGAGAATTAAATCCATACCTCTTAAAAGTTGCCATGATTGAGAATCTCTGCATTAGAGGGAAAGATCTACTCATCTTTTTCTGGCTTAAAAATTGTGACCTTATTAATTAATTAATTATATTAAATTCATATGAGTAATGGATAGCTCAATACAAACCTAACCTATGTTTACTCTGAATTGTGTCTAAGACTTTCTGCAACTACCTAATGCATACAGTATTATTATTTAATGTGTCAGTTGGAAGAAAGAATTGAGATACAGGTTTAAAAATCCTAAGTTTTTTTTTTTTTAAGTCCAGTTCATATATAAAAAGAATGACTAACCTGAACAGAGAACTCATGCAGGTCTCACAATAGCGATGCCCACATTCTGTCTGTCTTGGATTGCACAAAATGAGATGACATTTTTCACATTTGTATTTGTCTTCGACTGCATTCACAAATTTTTCCTTGTAACCACCTTGTTCTGGTACATAAATGGATGGGATAGGGTGGCGATCAGGATTTGCCTTCTGCTGTATTGTTTCCACTAAGACTGGAGGGTCTGCTTTCTTGCTTGCATCCATGTTGGAATTAATAAATACTATAAAGAAAACATATGTATGCTCAATAATTAAACATATTAAGAGTAAAATAAAGCATAATCTTTTATGCATGAAATTCATATGAAAATGAATCCACAGATCATGCTTGCATTTGCTTGAAATCATACTACTCCCTCCTATGGACCAATCCATGGATAAGGCTTAATCCTCAATGATTCATCATCAAGTAACCACCTATCACCTCAAACTTAATATTTTTCAATTGGGTTCATTCATACCAACATGTTGAAATATAATTTCTAGTAGACATAATGAATACCAATATTTTTTCAGCTTGTTCATCCTTACAGCTTCTAAGTATTAGGGTCATTAATAGTCAGAGAGAGGAGCAATGCTCTCACTAATCTTGCATATCTGCACTGAGAATAAATCAATGACGTTAAGGAACTGGAACATTTTAGCTCTCAGTGAACTAAGTGTGACCTGGTTACCTCTTTATATTTGTGAAAAAGCTTAATCCTTTTCTTTTGTCCTATTTCTGCACTTCATCAACTCAAAATACCTTACTCTTAGATCCAGACTAGCCAGCTCCTCAAAGGCAACATAATGGTGTTTCTTATAACTGGCAGCTAAAGAGCATGTATTACATCTGCTGCCATCTCATCCTTCTCAACAGCATTAGGTAAACTTTCCCAATTGTACTTTAAATCACATTTCAGACCGTGTAGCCATCTTAGTAAAAGCAAAAGGGGAAACTAATGTATCCACAGCTTTCCTTCAGACATGTCATGTCTTATTTTGTACTATAACCATAAGTATATTCAAAACAATATTTGCTGTATCGAACACGTACACAATAGTTCTGTAAAACCAGTTGTACTGATGCTTTCTGTTAAATCGTTTTCTGATTCTTGGCAAATCTATGGACCAACTCTCTCCACATTTTCAAATCTTGTATAGTTTCTTTCAATTGTTTTAGGCTCTGCTATCAGCTTTGATGGTGTCTAGCCATGTTTTTGGCAGCTTCTTTTCTTTTACCATTGACCATTCTGAGCATAACTGCCTTTTCCAGTGAATTGTGTCATGGCAAAAATAAGTAAGATGGAATTTTGATTTTGCCTTCCAGTGAGATGTCTGATTTTATACACTCCTGTGCTTGCTTGTTTGTCACCTTTCTGTCTAAGGAATGTACAGGAACTTTCCAAACATTATAGCTTGACTGAGTCGAATTTCCTCCTGTCTAGTTTTTCCATGGTCCAGCTTTCGCAACAATAAGTAGTTATGGAGCGCACAACAATGCATATTAATCTGCATTTATTTGCCAGCCTGATGTCCTTGCTTTTCCATACTCAATTTATATTCATCAATGTTGGGTGACACAATGCAATTATATACTTTATTTCTGGACTTCATTCCCTACTTTGATCAATCAGTGATCCTAGGAAAGTGAATTCTTGCATACATTCAATCTTTTCACTGTCAACTGTTATTTACACATTTCTAGTTTTTATAGTGGTCATGAGTTTAGTCTTTTTTATGTTCAGGAAGAGCATAAGAGCATCAGCAAATGTCTTGCTTTCTTCTTTAATCTTTTTGATCAAATATTCCTGGCCTTCTTTGGTTTCTGAAGATATTATTATATTTATAATATTAAAGATTGTTGATGTTCCTTCCTCCAATCTTTGCTCCGATTTTTGATTCTTCAAGTTCCAGCTTTATCATGATAATTTTGACATACAGGTTGAATAAAAAAGGTGAAAAAATGCAACCTTGAAGCACTCCTTCTTTCTTGAATCAGTCAGTGTGTCCATATGATGTTCACACAATGACTTCCTGATTTGTGTTCAGCAACTGCACCAACTTGATCACATGTGATGGCACCCCAGGTCTTCTAGGGCTCTCAACAGCTTGTCATGGTCAGCACAATCAAAGGCTTTCTTTTAGTCAATAAAGCAGATGTAGATGTTCTTTTGATATTCTTGAGATTTTTCCATGCTCCAGCATAGATTTGCAATATGGATACTGAAACCAGTTTGAGCTTCAGGTAATTCCCTTTTGATGCTCAGATACTCTATAGTGCCAGATATTGTTGTATGATCTTAAGGTGAATCTGGCTAGTATATCTGATAAGGGCAATTGTGTGGTAATTAGAGTAATCCTTAGAGTCACTGGTTTTGGGCAATGGATGAATACTGATCATTTCCAATCTGTGGCCATGTGTTCATTTCCCAAATTTCTGGCACAAAGCTATGATGGATGTGGATAGTGCAGGCCTCAGCAATTCTGAAGGGCCTTCTTGTTTGGCAACTGGCTCATTGCCCACATGACTTCTTCCTAAAGGATGTCTGATCCTATTTCTGCTTCCCTTTCTTCATCATCCTTAGGAGGTTGGGTCTTTTTGTTGCAGGCATAAAGCTCTTGTCATCAATTCTTGACACTTGTTGATGAGACCGTCCTTTCTCTTCCTTGTTTTTGAAGGTGCTTTTACGAGCAGTAAATGGTGCACCATTTACTAAAACCAGTTGTACAATGGGACATATTGGCACAATTTCATACTCTAATAGGAAGTATTTATAATGTATATGTATTTGAAATGAATTGGATTAAAAGTTATCATTGTTATCAAAAGTCTTGGATTTAACTTGTAATACATAATAAGAGGAGCAAAAAGTTAAAACATGGTTACAACATGGAAATAGTTAGAGGAACAATGGTATGGTAATCACATCCTTAAAATTGCTCATTATGACATTCATTGGTTTACTATTTATCAGTACATCAGAACTAAAATATATTCTTAAACTTTAATGTTCTATCCTACATTCAGTTCTTCCAGTTTATTTTTTCCTGCATGTGAAACAAACATTCTAAAATTCACTGACTTTCTAATCATTCACTATGATCTGCAACATGATATTTTAAAATGTCTGTATGTTTAGTCATAGATTTAGTATTTGTTGACTATTCCAATCCATGCAGACCTGGGCCATGTTACAAAAAGCAGAAATGAAAAAAGAAAAAGAAAAAAAAAGGAAAGCAAAAGTAAAATACAACAATAAAAAAAAACATAAGTATAATGATGAACTAGAATCAATAAGAATCAAAGGCACAGTGAAATAAAATACTTAAGAATTTGAGGAAGGAAGGGGCCCAGCATGTCTCCAGGATATGGGAGTGGGAGTGACCATGGAGAATGGGTGTAGGAAAATGCCTGTTGTTTCACCCCCAATTCCAGAACCTCATGAGATGGGAGGATTCTTAAATACAACTCCCTAGATTTTCAGACTAGGTAAGAAACCAATTCTGGAAAAGTAGTGCCTGATGAGTCCCAGTGCTCCGAAGATTATGAATATGAATATATGAAGTCTAGAAGAGAAGTAAGATGAGACACTGAGTTTTTCCATGTGAATAGTTGTGTGTAATTTTATGATTAATAGCTTTCTGCTATGTTGTTATCAATTAGGACCTGCAGGACTAATGAACTAATATTTTTGACTGACAGTCACAGAAAACTCTTATAGTGAAGAGAAGTCTTTTGAGTAACTCTATGCTCAGGAAGAGTCAGTGTCAGCATTTTTCTCCTTTGCATAATTTATATTTTAGAAAGCATTGAAGAGCGAAAAGAGCAGCTTAATCAACCCTTCATTTTTTCCAAGCCCAACAGCAGTCTTTCAAACTTGCTTTACATTTTAAATAATGAGATGGAAAAGATATAGAATTTTGTATCCGATCTTTGCTGAGTCCTAAGAGGTGTTAGGGAATCAACAGTTGGTTTAGTCATCACAGGATGTTCCTAAAAATTCATTTTCATTGATGAGATCAGCAGGAAAAGTAAGTATAATCTTTACAAAATTACTAACTCTATATACACCAATTTAAAAAGACTAGTGAGGAATAATTTACCATTTAAGGTGCATTAGCACAGGAAACCATAGGAACACAGAAAATGCACATTCATTAGCAGATGTGAAGTATTCCAGATTCTTTGGGGTAGGGCATAATAAACATAAAAGCAGAATTGCAGTATAGTCTCAAAAGGGTCCTTTTATTAGCACAATTTGGAAACTGGAATTGAAATACTAGATATTATGGAGGAAATGATAGAATATTGATATTTTTACTTCATTATTTGGGTTTTTTTTTAAATGTTTATTTACAAAAGGCAAAGAGTCACATTCAGAAACAGAACAATCTGGAAGAGTTGCCAACATTCCATGCCAAAGTCCAAATGCTTTTCCTATCTAGATGAATTGGAGAAATTGAACTCCAATCACTGCAAAAGGCATAGGCGCAACCCTGGTTGCATCACCTCCTTGATCTTACATCATAACTGAGCAAGACCTGAAATCTAGGAGAGCAAATGTTCCCATAGCTGCCCAACAAGATCTCAGTTACACCACATCCATGCATTTTTCCATCATATATGGATATGGTCTTATTTCATAAAGATCTGGTGTTTACTAGCAGCAGCTGGAACCCTGGGTACCTAAGAACTCTGGTCCCTATGTCAAGGGATGAACAGCTGGCTTTGAAGTAATATGTTCTTTTCCCTGCAACAATCTCTCTGTGAGAGGACACCAGGATAGCTGTACTTTGGTCCAATGGTTTAAAAGGTTTGCACCATTACCATTTTGAGGAACCAGTCGTTTAAACAATGATATAGTTGGAGCAGGCACAGGAAAGCTTGGCTCTGCAGTGCAGTATCACAAAGGAGAGAGAGAGATAAAGGAGCTCAAGTGTTAAAGAGAACTTTTTAAAAAAAGGAAGTGGTGCCAGGGAAAGTCTGAGAGGGCAAGTCCCTTGGAAAGGGGTTTTTCCAGTCACAAGGAACTGGAAAGCACTGGAGTACTAGGCTGAACTCTGGGAGGGGCTGAGGCCAGAAAAAGTTAGCTTTTCAGCCCCCAGCATTTTTACTTATTCAAGCCAGGCAGAAGCTGTAGATGAAGCTGGAAGCAGCACAGAGCAACAATAACAACAGCACCAGGTGACATAGAGAGTCAAATTGGAGCATATTAGACACACAAATTGCCAGAGAAAGACAAACCAGAAGAAGGCATGCCAGAGAGGATTGAATCGGAGTAACAGGATAAACCAGTGATCAGAGAGGTTCATACCAGAATAGGCTAGAAGTATCAAATGCCGGACAGTATCAATCAAAAAGAGCTAGTGCTAGACCATTAGTACCAGAAAGCCAGGGACAAGGTGATGAGAGCCAGCACTAGAGCCAAGTGGTCCTAGCATAATAGCAGCTTATGTCAGAGAAGGTCAGTGGAGATAGAAAATAAGTTAAGGCTACAGCAGTACTAGAGGCAATCAAGATCTACAATGATGCCAGCCACACATGCACAAGAGAGATGGCAAACAGCCAGGAGAAAGGTCAGTAAAGGTCTGGAATTGACAGACCTTTAGAAAGAATGAAAATTTAATGAAAGAGATTATAATAAAAATACAGTAATGAGTAGCTTGCAGTGAGTAGGGGCTGACTAAAGATATCTTGGCAAAAGAGCTATAAAGAAAGACCAGCAAGTAGACCAGTCCTCTGAATCTCTCTGGAGAAGAAGACTGCCAATGAGTGCTACGAATGGTAGCTCCTCCAGTGGTTTCATGCAGGTTCAAGCCCCAGAAATGGAGGAAGATAACAACTTTGCTCTCAATAGCAGCAGAGCTTTTAGTAAGGACACTAAGCCAGCTGAATTTATTTTCTAATCACATTTAAAAATATTCAATTCCATCACTTTAGGAATATTAGAGACCTTCAAAACAGTGAGCTTAATTTGACATCCGGTGAGTTTTACATTCTTTAGAAATTTTAAAGAATTGGCAAAAAGCTTTTTATAAAAGGAGTTTAATTTTTTTTTAAATTAAATGGATTTAAAGACTAGGGAGATATGGGGCATTGTTTATTATTGAATTATAAATATGTTTATTTGAAAAACATATTTATAATTAAATAATAATTATTTAAATAATTAACTATTTCCTTTCAGTCATTTCCCATGAGATTATATCATAATTAAATAATATACCCTCATGGGAAATGACTGAAAGGAACCATGCTAGGAACCAAGATTTGATGAAGATTGCAAGTAGATACTAGAGGGAACTAAAGGACAAGGCAGAAAAAAGAGTTAAAATGCCTAAGCTAATTATCTTTTTCTTATCTAAAATAAGTATTTTGAAACACAGATTGAAATATTAGTATCTCAGAAAGAATACATATTTCAATGGATAGACTTTGACATAGACATTTTAGAGTTTGAAAGCATGGAAGACAACAAAATTGAGATTACCAAAATGGAAATACAAAACACAAATCAAGAAAAATATTTGGACATGGAACAGCTGCAACAAGAAATTCTAGGTGATGTCTCTTTATGAGATTTACAAAGGTTGGTGGAAGCTTTGAAAACTCCTTTCTGTTAGACTGCAGCATAGGAGATTTTTTTTCAAGCCTACCAAGAATCTAGTCAACTAAAGTTCAACACTAAATTGGCACCAAATAAATGTCAATGGAATTTAGGAGTCGTTGGACTTAGATCATTTTTGGCCACATAAGAATTCTAAACTGATGACATGCTTAACTCCGCTCTGCCTATTCTTCTATACAAACAGTAATAAATGATCAACTCTTGTCATGCCAAAGGAATGATTTAAAGATCAAGATTGTGCAGAGCAAAAAGAAGGAATATAAAGTTGGACTATTTGACCATGGAGAAATTATTGATTTGATATTTCTGTTAATGCCAAATGGACTTTTTGCTGAGCTAATTTAAAAAAGATAATTACTAGACTGAGAAATAAAGGTTAAGCTATGGGGAGATTTTTTAATTTTTTTTTAACTTGGGTGTATATTAGTACAATAAATTAAGTTATGCTCGATGTGAAGAAGGTTCAATTCAATTCAATTCAATTATTTAATAATAATTAAATTATTACAAAAATATAATAGGAAGTATATAAAACAAGGTGTAAAATTTTGGAGAAAAATAATAATAAAAATTGGATAAGTGAAAATAAAATGATTGAGAAATATAATTACAATATAATTAGATAGAAAAATATACTTTTAGAAATAATATGGAAATAAAAGAATCTTAAAAATAAGAAGCCCAAAAATAACAGATAAGTCTGAAGAATAAGTTTTTAAAAAGCCCACAATTCTATTTGTAAAGCATACCTTTATTTTTAACAGAATAACAGAGCAGAATAACAGAATATTAATTTCTCTACTGCACTAGGAGGAAAGAAAACCACCTTTTCTCCATGGACTGCCTTATCGCTCCAAAAACCTTATAACAATCCCTAGCACCTCCTGCTATATCTACATCTGTCCAATTGAACCCCAATCAAATCACCCCTAACATCAAAATATACACTTCCCTTTCTTATCTTACCTGCACTGGCTATCTACCTATCTCATCAACATCATTACAGGACATTTCTATGGGTTTAGACTGGCATGTAATATATCAACCCTAACTCATTTCACCTTCTGCCTAACTTGTAATTAGTCCCATTAGCCTTTACCCTTCAATAAGTCCTAGGAACTCCCCCTCTTATCTGTGCACTTTCAGTATCTACCAGACAGCAGTGCCTCCCTGCCACAATTTTCTCACTGTGGAGTAGGAGACTTCCTCAGTACTTTCCAATTTGTGCACTGGACATGTGATATTGCCTTACTTCCTATGTGAAACCCCACTCTAGCTATAAAATACCTGATCAGACTGGTATTTATCTCTCTTTCCCTTTCACTGGTTTCTGCAAGTTAATCTCCTTATCAGAGTCCAAGTCTCTGACTCTGCTGCTATCTGTCTCACCGGCCTCTCCAGTTTTGGAGCTGAGGTCCAATCTCCCAATTTGGTCTTCTAAATCAGGGGTTAATGAAGGCAAGCTGCACTACTCTCCTGACTTTTTAAGCTGGACATACTGCCAGCACAGTTCACCTCTGCCATACCTCCTTTGCTACCTGAGGAAGATGGCTTTTCCACTGCAACTCTTTGTAGAGGCCGAACCAAATTCACCACCAGTTAATCTTGTTTTTTTAATCTGATCTACCATTCCTTGGCCCTATCTTTCACTGACTGCCCAAGGTGACACAGCTTACCTCAATGGAGGACTAGAATACAGATCTCCCTCCTTAGAGTCCAAGTCTTAACCATACAATATGCTGGCCCTCATAACATCACTTCTGTTCTTAAATGTTAATAATATTTCTTTCCCAGAATAAAATAGCTTACCTGTATGAAAGATGAAAAGGATAAGAACATCTAAATTTGATTAGAGGAAAACGTCAAAGAAAAATGAACAATCAGGCTACTCCAAGTTGATGTCATCAAATGTGGATTCTTTTAACCTAAAGATACAGACAAACATCTTTAAGACCACATCCAAAATATAGATTTATTTTATTTTATTTTATTTTATTTTATTTTTGAATTTGTATACCGCCCTTCTCCCTGAGGACTCAGGGCGGTGAACAGCCAAATAAAAACATCAAATACAAATATTAAAATACAGTTAAAAAATATATATAAATTTGGCCCCATTAGTTAAAACAATAAACCAAACAATTAAAAACACTTAAAAAGAATTAGGCCAGCCCGGCTTGTTGGAAAAGGAAGGTTTTAAGGGCACGGCGGAAGGCACTGAGGTCATGGATTCTCCTTATCTCAGGGGGCAACTGATTCCAGAGGGTGGGAGCCCCCACAGAGAAGGCCCTCCCCCTGGGGGTCACCAGCCTGCATTGTTTGGCTGATGGCACCCCGAGGAGGCCCTCTCTGTGGGAGCGCACGGGTCGATGGGAGGTCGTCGGTGGCAGCAGGCGGTCTCGGAGATAGCTAGGCCCTATGCCATGTGTATACAGAATCATACAAAATGACTTTCCTCGTGTCATTCTTGCCACAAAATTTTAAGTGTGTCTCTTTTTACTTATCTAAGATTTCTTTTCCATATTGCTTATCCAGCAGAAATCTTTTAAAATTTATTTTCCCATCTTATCCTGTTTTCATTTTCATTTGGCTTTCAGTATTTGTAATGTTACATGTACATTTCAATTTCTACTCTTCCAAACTAGTGGTATTTTTCCCCAAGTAAGCACAGAAAACAAACAAACAAACCCAGAAATCTTTATAAGATGAATGTACTACCATGCAAATTTTTAATTATAATTATAATTATTTGAATTGATTTGAATGCAAGTATAGGAAAAAATAGAGAAATAGGTAGGATCAAATATATGCTTTTAAACAATGCCGTTTGATTATATGTAACTAATTACTATTGCTTTCAACCACAGATATATTTTACCATAAGTCTGTTTATGAGTTTTTAATCTCAGATTTAAATCTGCCTAGTCACAGGTTAGCAAATATATCTAATCAAACATAAACATTTCCACCATCATCCCCTTTAATTTGAAAAAATAAGTGCAAAATAAGGCCTGCAAAATAAACAGCTACACCCTAATCTTGGTAACTTTACTGGTTATTTACAATAAGAAATTAATTTTTGTAGCTCAAAGATACATTTTTCTAGGAGACAGTTACCCTGTGGTAAGATGGGTGGCCAATAAATTTTATAAATAAATGAATATTTTCAGTTTTCCCACAATGAAATAGAATTATTGTTAGTTACATAATTATTCTCTAATTTTGGGCAATCATAAAAAGGGAGCAAATCTTAAATGTAAAGCAAAGTTACATTTCAGAAAAAGGAAAGAATAAGTTTGATTAAACAAGAAAATACTATGTTTGAAGTCAGCATATCTTAGTATTAGAGAAATGATTTATCATATTCAGTAACTGGATAAGAAATCTATTGATTACAGAAATAATTTCCATGAAAGAGCTCATCCAACTGATTTTATGAACTCTGCAACTGCAGCATCTGAAAACAAAGTCCTTAGCTACCCTGTTTTATTATCAGACATCCCCTGATAATAAGCCCAATCGGGCTTTTGAGCACATGGCAATAAGGCCAAGCGCTTATTTCAGGGTTCAAACAAATATAAGACAGCGTCTTATTTTCCGGGAAACACGGTATAAACAGTGAAAAATATGGAAGTGCTCTTAGAAAATAAAGCTATAGGACAGCAATCACTAATACAGCTTTTGCTACATCATGATTTCATAAAACATCCATTTTGTTGTTTTGTTGAAACTTGTCTTAAAAGCTGCACTTCATATTTCTCCACTAGGAGTTGCTGTGTTGGTAGCAGCTCACCTCTATGCTCAACTATTTATTTTAATTCTCTATTTCCATACCTATATTATGCAATAAAGAGCTTTTGCAACTTTCCTTTAAGACAAAGTCTATTTCAGTGCCTAGGGTTGCATTGTAAGCACAAGGACACAAGGAGTTCTGGTAGATGGTGTCTCACTACCATGAGAAATGAAATAAATATGTGCAGAACAGAATCGATCATCTCAATGTAGTTTGCCATATGCAAGGATCAGGAGTGCAATGGAATTTCCAAGATTTATCATATCTATTAGTTAATATCTCCTCTTGCTCAAGCACAGGGGGACAATTACTTTTTGCAAAATCATCTATTTAAAAATCTAGGAAGGAAGTTCAAGAATCTGAAAACTGAGGCTCATGAGGTTTTCCACCTACTTATTATTATTTGTTTTTAAATCGAAGGTGCATTTTTTATTGTACCTTTTTATAGAATCAAGAAAGTCAGCAGTACATGATCACTTTTCCCTAAAATGTCTGGTACTTTTCTACCAAGTCTTCCTTATTTTCATTTATCACATTGTGTAACCACCTATTTCACAAATGTGACTCTGGGAAGCTCACATTTAAAATGACAGAAGCAATAACAATAAAAATTGTCATTGATAAGTGATGCAGTCGTAAAGTGTGACATCACATGACTGTGTCATTTAGCAAAGAATTCTGGAACTCCTGATTGCCAAGCGAACCACCAGCAATCACATGACATTGGGGACGGTCAGATGGCCAGAACTCTGAGGACCAGTGTTAAGTATTACTTGTTCCATGTCACTGCAAAGTCAGTGGCCATTAACTGTGGATTACTTATATATTTATTTGTTCCTGTATTTATTTTAATCCAGACACTCTACAGCAGTGGTTCTCAACCTTCCTAATACCACGACCCTTTAATACAGGTCCTCATGTTGTGGTGACCCCCAACCATAAAATTATTCCTAAAACCATTGAAAATATGTGTTTTCCGATGGTCTTAGGCGACCCCTGTGAAAGGGTCGTTCGACCCCTAAAGGGGTCCCGACCCACAGGTTGAGAACCACTGCTCTACAGTATTTCCAGGTTCATTTTCTTAGACCTGTGAGCAGATATAAATAATGTATATATCTATAAGGATATGAAAATATAAACACACTAAGACTGCCTTGTACTGCTTATAATTTTTTGAGTTTATACATTTATGATAATCATTATTAAATGGAGGATTAATATTTTCTTACTTTAAAAAATCAAATTCACCTTGTTTATTCCCCATATTCTAAGCATTCGTGTACAGACAACAAAGGCCATAACTTTATGAGCCATGTTCTGATTATTAATCAGAAAGCTAGAAACCTTAATTATAAATAACAATCTTAAGTAGCCTCCTATGGCAAGAGAAGCTATTCAGAAAAAGAACTCGAGAAAGAATAAGAACTTGCTTTTAAAAAAAGAGGTATCAGACTTCTCGGGACAGTTAGATAAGAAACTGCAGAAACAAGACTTCCAAGAATGGAAAAGCTCTGATAAATAGCAAAGTTAATTAAATTATTACAAAAGAATTCCACTGACTGCTGTGTACAGTACATCTGATATTTGCTGGTGATCTTAGGAGAATGTGTTCTCATGCTACTTCCTTTTCAAAATACCCCTTCCCTCATTCCTGCAGAAGCCTGGTGCTTCCATCCCCCCACCAACCCCTCAGATAGCCAATCCAAAGGATCTCTGTTTCTACAGTGAATCTCTTTACCTTTCTATGCATAAGTGTTGATTTTGTACATGGTGAGTTTCAGTATTAACTGTCAGATGTTCCTCCCTCTAAACCCCTGGAGTAGAGGCCATGTTCCTTCACCATAGAGCCAAGCTTACAGCATCTAGGCCAGATGATGGCCAAATGCCCTCACAATGCCTATGTGCAGGATTTCACAGCTGATTCAGAGCAGGAAAAGTTATCAATACTACAAAATGTCCCAAAGTCCCACAATACATAACAAAGGTTATTCATGTGTTGCACTGCTTTTCTACCACCAAGATTCTGCTGGTGCTTTGCTGCATGTATTAGATGGATGGAAATGGAAGGGAAAATCAGATATTATCTTTCCCATCCAGTGTGTCCAGTTCCTGAAGCACTGAAGGAATGTTTCTAAAGATTCTGCAGTGCCCTGTTCAATTAAATCATTTTATAGTTTATTACAGTGTTTTCCAAAGTGTGGTACGTGTACCTCCAGGGGTACGGGAAGAGTTTGGTGGGGGTACGCGTTGCACCGGAGTTTGGTGGGGATCACATGGGAATATCCACTGCACCGTGCTTAGCTGCGCCCACAGAACAAGGAAAGAAATAGGCGCGTATCGCAGTTTTTACACGGGAACTGGGGCCATCGTACATTGTATCGCAACTCATTATGGCGGGAACTTCTGCGCATCCTTCGTGCAGCTCGGGTTCGGCCATTTTTAAACTGCGGGAACATTAACAGTTGACGTTGAGCCGCGGAGCTGTTTAAACGCCGGAGAATTGCAGTGTTATCTAAGTGTTTCCCAAAGTGTGGTATGCGTACCCCCAGGGGTACCATATGTTTTTTATGAGGGATACTCAGCGTTACGAAAATTATAGAAGGGGTACACATATGTCAAAAGTTTGGGAAACACTGGTTTATTAGATAGGCTCCTTTAAACTGGTCAATCTATGTCATCTCATTCCATTTCACATCCTGGACTAGAAGATGTGTGTCACTTATTTATTTGTTTGTTGTATGTATGTATGTATGTATGTATGTATGTATGTATGTATGTATTTGTTTTCTGAGGTTTTCGCGGGTATTTGTATGTAGGTCTTTGGTTATTCGGGTTTTCTCCCATGTAAAATTGGAGGTTTCTTGGCAACGTTTCGACCAAGTATCATTCGTCATCTTCAGGCTGGTGTTCTCGGCTTCGTGCTTCTAGGAGCAATGTATGTATGTATGTATACACTTCCTCAATCCAGTTGAACTCCACAATTATACTTTGGGCTTACCTTGTCACTGTTGTTCAATCTTATGCTAAGTTATTTCTTGTCTAGCCTGTTCATCAAAAGCAGCTCTCAGTCAGGCCATAAATTTTAATATAATTAACTATAAAAAATGGTTGATCTCCAAAAGATGGGACTGC